ATATATACATATATATATATATATATATATATATATATATATATATATATATATATATACATATGTATATATATATATATATATATATATATATATATATATATTTATTTATATGTATATATATACATATGTATATGTGTATATGTATATATATACATATACATATGTATATGTATATATATTATCAGTTAATTCTCATTTGAAACATGATCGTCATATGATGTCCAGGTGAAATGAGTGGACGGATGTCACCCTTCACTTATCTATCAATATGGGCAAGAGTTCAAAATAAATGGTTATGGATTATCCCTCTTGTCACCGATTGTGGACAAGAGAACAAAACAATGAGAGACTATTAGAGGAGGTTAAAGGTTGTCTTCCCGCTAAATATTTCATAGAATATTCTATCTCATTACGATCATGTATAAAAGCTCATCTTCAACAAAATAAAAAGATGTTGTCTTTTTTATCACTCGTACCCACATTTATATATCTCGGTTTACTAATTTGGGCATCAAAAAAATCAGGTCAAAAAATATCTTTCGACCTTGATCTTCGTACATATAGCACCTAAAGAGTTAGTGTTTCCACCTCGAATAATCCTACGTATAAGAATCCGGATCATATCAGATTAACCAAAATATCAATGATTTCTTCTCTCAATATATATAAAACATGTATGCCTTGACATTTCTGACTCCCAAGCTGTGTTTTTCTCTTCAATCCAATGAGAACATTTACTAGATGAGTATATTTATAAAATTACTATAAATTATTTGAGATGGGTGTGGTTCGGGCTTTAAATCCGATCCAATTACTGACCTTACCACCCTTATTCAATTACCCAAGCTCACGTCCAAGCGTCAGCCTCAATTGGCTAACCTTATAGGTATGGCTGACCTTTGGAATATAAATCCCATATAAAATATCCTAAAAGAGAAAAAAAAAATTATAAAGATGCTTTAAATCTATTTATCTCACTACTAATCTTCATCTAAATCATCGTCTAATTTGAATACAAGAATCATAAAGTCATTTTGACCAATAGATAAAGTAGAGTAGGATGAAGAGTTTCGGAAGTAATAATGATAATTTTGGCCGTCAACTTGATCTATATTTTGATTGATGATGCATTAGGGATTGAGGAAGATGACTACCCACGAGGGGGTGTGATCGAGGAGTCAAAGTACAAAAAGCTTCTATCTGAACTCGTCGAACGATGCGATCGAGGGAGAAGATTTCTCAAAGTCAAAGAGGGTTTCTCATCTTGATCATGCTTCGTGCAATTCCTATAAAATCTATATCGAAAGTATGTCTAACAAGGGAGAAAACTTCTCAATGTCAAAGAGGGTTTCTCACACGCGAATGCACAGTGCTTGTTGATGTTGTTGGTGTCGTCTCACACGTCCAAGGCGAAGGATGGACGGAGCCAAGAAACCTAGTGATGGCCTTCTCATCGTTCCAACCACCGAGGTAATACGTTTGATGAGCCTCGGCCGTGGCCATGACTGCTGCTGCTGCAGTGCTATATAGGTCATGCATCTTCGCCACCCACTCGATATTGCACCCCCACCCCAAATGGAGAACATGTATCATGTGATTTTGCATCGCCTGAATGAAGATGGAGAAGTCATTTACTCCTCCTGTGTTTTCTGCTAGGTTTTGTCATCCTTCGAAGGGTTCACAGTGATATGTAGTTGCTAGTGATCTTACAGCATCATGTGCTCTTGCTATTTCTAAAGCGAAGTATGAACTTGTCTGAAATATATTGTTTACTGGATTCTCTTTATTTTGTTAAGAATAATTCTTTATTTTGTTGAGGGAAATCCTCTAGGTTCGTTGTATCGGCCTCTTTCGAAGCTGAACAAGAGCCACCACGCCGTGCCCTCTTCTCCTCCCTGTGCCGGCGGCATTTTTTACTGTCGCCCTTCCTCTGCCTCTTCTTACAGAAGCAGAGCCGATGCAGCCTCGCAACTGCTCTCGGCCAACAATCTCTCCTTCTTGTTCTCGTATCTCGCTCGAGCGAGAAGTGTCGTTGTCGTTGTCCTAGCCGCAGCAACTGCAATAGCAGTAATATGCTCTTCTCCTAAGTTGTTGTCTTCTTCTTCCTCTGCTACAACATTACAATAGTTTTCTCTATTGTTGTAGTTTTCTCTTCTGCTGCAGTCGTCGTTGTCACCGTCGTAGCCGTAGCAATAGCAATAGCAACAGCAGCGATCTTCTCTTGCTCTACTCACGAAGCTTTTGGCTCGTAAACTGTTTGTTTTGCATCGATCCAAGATTTTCCTAACTACACGAGGAAATCTTTCTATTATGTTAAAAAAAATCCTCTATTCTATTGAGGGAAATCCTCTCTCCTAATCTGTATAAATAGGAGAGAGATATATTAATGCATTCAAGCTAAAGCTTCTTCAATAAAGTTTCTTTAATAATTCTTCTCATCTTCTATTCTCTTATCTTCTATTCTTTCTATCAGTCCATTCCATTCCATCACGATCTCTCTAATACCCGTCGCGAAGTATGAACTTGTCTGTAATATATTGTTTACTGTAAATGCTCAGAAACATCACCTTTCACAGCTTATGCCGGTTATGACGAGATAAAAGTATCCAGGTTAGACTGTGCGTTAGCAGAGAGTTAGATACATTAACTGGGCTTTCCTGTGCACCGGAAGACATAGAAGATGACATAGAACATACTAAAGATGATCACCACTCTTCTCAGCACTAAGAAATAAAGATTGTGAGCCACATTTAATGCTAAAGCTACGACATGGAGCCGGGAAATCATTGTTTAAGAGAGCATGGTTGGCTAGCAATCTCTCGTCTGCGGCAAATGCATGCAACAGATATAGAACAGATCGATGTATCTAATGTGTTTGATACTATTCCCCGACTCATTTCTTCCTCCACTACAAATACGTATCCTCTAAACAGTGCTCAGTCCCATCTCTCTTTCTATACATTTGTCCGGAAGTTTTCTGCCACTGGTTTCTAGTTTGAAGTCTTTATGTGTTAGCAGCCATGGCTGAGAAGGTTGCGCCTTCTGTTGACCGCAGGTTCTCCAACCTTGTAAAGCTAGTAGTGAAGCCGAACTACGTGAAGCTCCTCTACCGTCGTGCCATCTCTAATGCTCTTTATCTCTGCCTTGTCTGCTTCTCCTACTCTTTCCTCGCCTGCCGACGCTGACGCTAGCCGACCTCCGTGAGCTTCCAACCTAGCCATGGGTTGTCACCGGTTCCACCCTCCTCGTCGCCATGAGCCGCCCCCGCTAGGTCTATTTGGTGGACTTCTCCAGCTACAAGCCGAGCCAGGTTCGTATGGCCACTCGCAGCACGATCATGGATCAATTCAGGAGCGCCAGGACGTTCACCGACGAGACTGTGGATTTCCAGCGAAAGATGCTGCGGGATCGGGGACTCCTCGTACTTCCCCAGATCCGTACTGTGCAGCCGATCAACACGAGCCACGCCACCGCGAGAGAGGCGGCGGAAACTGTCATTTTTCAGCGCCGCCGACGAGCTGTTCAGGAACATCGGCGTGATGGCGGACCCTTATATTTAGATTTTATTATTTTAAAGTAAAATAAATATTCGCATGGGCGGCGCCTACATCCTCCTCTCCAACCGCCGCTAAGACCGACGGTGCACACCATGCGAACCCACCAAGGCGGCGACGACTGCAGCTACTCCTGCGTCACGCAGGAGGAGGACGCGAAGGGCAAGGTCGGCATCACCCTGTCCAAGGAACTCATGGCGGTCGCCGGCAACGCCCTGAAGGTCAACATCTCCAAGCTGGGGCCGCTGGTCCTCCCCATCCCGGAGCAGCTCCTCTTCCTGGCCGCCATGATCCTGAGTAACGTCCTCAAGCTCAAGATCAGGAGCCACGTCCCCGACTTCAAGCTGGCGGTCGAGCATTTCTACATCCACGCTGGCGGCCACGCAGTGCTGGACGAGCTCGAGAAGAGCCTCGAACTGACTCCACGCCCCATGGAGCCGTCGAGGATGACGGTGCACAGGTTCGGCAACACCTCCAGCAGCTCCCTCCGGTACGAGCTATCCTACTGCGAGGCCAAAGGCTGGATGAGCAGACGCGACCGGGTGTGGCAGATCGCGTTCGCGTCAGGGTTCAAGTGCAACAGTGCCGTCTGGAGAGCCCTCCACACCGTCAATGGCGTTCACAAGAATCCATGTACGGAGGAGATCGACAAGAGAAGCATGTTTGCCGTGTTGCTTATGATCTCTCAATTAGTCTATATCTGCATGTAACAACTGTCACACACATTTACTACGTCTGCATCGGTGCGCCTACAGAAGATGGGAGAAATCGATCGACCATGTTAATAGCCATATCCGGATACCAGATTACATTCAGCTGTAATCATATCCAACTTTGACCAGCGCATGTTGACTCCAAGTAACACAAACAGTTCGAACATAGCAAGGCTTGATAGAAAGAAGTCTCGATGTCGTCAGCTTCTCGCACAAGGATGACGAAACCTGACCTCGCAGATGTGAGGTCAGCTTCGCGGGAGAAATGACGACACAGTGAAAGTTGCATGTAACATTCTAGCAGTAGATTTCTGACAGTAAAAACATGCACGGTGGTTTGTGTCATGACATATTGCATTTGCATGATCGAATCACGAGAGAAATGGATGTTTTAACATCACTCTAAACATCTGTGTTCATGCATGGAGAAGGGAAACACAGATCAACAGCTGATCTCTCGATCTTTTGCTACGCTTTGTAAAGATTTCACTGAAACACAATCAAGTTATTTCATGGAACAAATTTCTTATGGGATAAGCCTGAATGCAGCATCATCAACGAACTAATTGTTTCAATCTCTGGTCTATCCTCGATGGATCTAAACCAATTCTTGTACTAATGGCCTGCACACACAGTAAACATGTATCAGATAATTTGCAGACTCTTATTCGAGGAGATTACCATTAATATGACTGAATAATTTCAGCTAACAATTGATCGATGGTTCGTTGATTCAGATCCACAGAATCAACATAATTACCTGACAATGAATGGAGTGGAAGATCCTGTCACCCACAGTGCTGAAACTGGCATTGATGACCTCCACACCTTCTTCCTCGAGGACGCTGATGACCTCGTGAAACATGAATCTTGTCCTCGACCCACAAACAAGAATCACCTCCAAGTTAGGATCCAAGTTTCTTACTTCAACCTGGGCCGGTCGGAAGCCTATCATCACACGACTTCTCATTTCCTTGAGCTCCCTCAGCCTGTCCACTCTCTCTTTCAGGTCCTTGATGTAGTCGAAAGCTTGGTCCAGCTGATCTTTCTGTGTCACTGTATTCTGTTCCATCAGTAGAACGCAAAAGAAGTGGATTAATCAGCAGGCCGTATGATCCAAGAATCTTTGGTTGTAGATCGAAGGCCAAGAACGATCTCTAAGAATTACGTATAAAGGAGGCAGAAACTTGGGAACAAGTACAATGCTCCCATGTGGTTACTCTCTGCAAATTAAGTGCGGTTCTCCTACTTCCAGTTGCCGGGCATGGTTCTGAGAGAATCCATGTCGGCTGCAGGAATGAAACAACGAGAAGACTCTATGTCCTCAGTGCTCTTGCACTAGTTTTCCTAGGGCCAAACAAGACTCTATCTGCGTGAATCATGACATCTTGGGGTAGCCTTTTACTCTCTTGAAGGGGTGAAGACCAACAAAAGATTCGGGTTGCCTTAAGCAGCATAATCTTCGCTATATCGCATCTTGCTCAAGTCGTCATATCTTAGATTTGTAGCCAGTGACTACACAGGTGAAGGCAACCTTAAAAAATATGGAACTGACTCCAGAGATGCTGATGGAGACTAAGAACTAAATCTTGGTAATCAATCTCCAAATCAGTACTCACTTCTTGGAACTTGACTGCTGCAAGGAGATTCTCAGCAAGTGTTCTAAAAATCCCAAGCATCAGAAAAAGCAATAAGAAGTTGCAGTCAAGATTTCATGGTCTCTTGACTAGGTAATCCCTTTTGAAGATTGGGTTTGATACAACTCGATTCTGCATGTTCTATACCTTGTCCCCCAAACAGTATTCATGGAAGAAAAGTAGACTCGGATTAGCATCAAGCAGCTATGTGTACCTTGGACACGGGGATGAGGGAACTGAGCTTGGAGCAGAGGTTCTTCATGTGGATTCTTCTGTTCTTCTCCACCGTCTTCCTCTCAAGCTTCTCGGTTCCACCACTACTCGCCATCTCTCTCTAGGTATACGAAAAGCACTACCCGAACAAGGAAGAAGAGAAGTGAGAAGCAGCCGCAGCAAGCACCGAAGGACCAGACGAAAGAGGCCAAGAGAGGGAGGAGTCAAAGAGGATGTTGTGCTCCGCCATGGCGAGGTGAGCATCCTCTATATAAAAGGGCAAAGGAGGGCCACAGGGGCCGCACGTCACGCTCCGTTTCCCTTCGGTTGCCGCCTTCGCTTTCACCTTCAGATTTAAGCCGGAAGCTCCTCTCACCCGTAGCAGCATTCCGACCGCCCACAATACTTGGCGGAGTCAACCGGGCCCCCACGCTGCTGCTTTGAGATTCACGAACAGTAGCGATGGAACGGCGTTCAGATTCGTGCCATCCCCCGTTTAGAAATGCATTAATTTACTTTTTCTTTTTCGTATTCTGAAATATTTAATTTATTTTTTATCACGTCATCATCGTCGATTTGATCGAAATAAATATGTAAATATCCAAAAACATGTAGAGAGGCCGGTGGAGCCAGTGCTTTCGCCGCGGGTCCCAGATTGAAAGGTACACGTGGAGGGAACTAAGTGGCGACGACCGACGACCGCTGTTTCGAGCCGAACTCCGGTTTAAGCGGCGCCGACCACCGACCGCACTTCCACCACACGATGTACGTTAAGTTTGTCGCCGTCTGCTGACCATTCCTGGTCGCCACGGTCAAGCCCTCCATTTTGCTGCTTGCATCGGCTCAGTGTCTCATCCTCTCCGATCGCCTTCAATGACTGACAATCTCTAGTCTTAATGTGGCAGAACGATGCGACGGCAGACCCTTTCCTCGTCCATCATCACTGCACCACCGCCGCTGGATCTCCTTCTCGTCCACTACGGCGGAGGAGCCGCAATTTCGTTGGTGATAGGAAGCCAATTGGGACTCGACTCTGTAGCGGCGTCATCGGCCGAGTCAGCGGTGGAGAGGGAGGAGTGATGTGAGAGCAGCAGCGGCGGACAATGGTTTTGAACATGGAACCCATGTGCGCATACTTGGCTTCCGAATTCCAAACAAGCCATTGACTCTCATCACCAACGAAACCCACCACGTCGCCCTCCTCGTCATCTCCCCGTACTGATGACGACGACGACGACGACGACGATGATGGAGATGAGCGATAGCTCCCGGTGCGGCCCTTTCCTACGACTGTTGCGTTGGTGTTGTATGGCTGAAGGCGTCATATCTTCTCTCCTTCCAACACATGCACTCTCCAACCAAAGAGAACCAAAGCTGACAGTTCCATACATGCATACATGTTTGTATGGAGTCGTCTTTCTCCCAATACGTTACTGTCATTTCAACACTGCTGAATGACAACGACAACAATCATTATTGAGGGAAAAATACGATATGCAATAGAGAATTCCAGTGAGCCTCGTGATTCTTAGAGTGGTTTTGGATGAAGCCAAACCCATTGAGGGTGATATGTTCAATAATATACTTGATGATCACCAAGTCTCCTCCCATTGGAGGTTGTCTTCTATGACTTATCTATAGAACGACACCGTCATGGGTTCATCATACCGTCATGGGGAATGATTTAGGTTTTCTGGCATTGCCTATCACCATACAAATTGTTCTGACCGAGCACTCAAAGCCTGCATGTGAAGAATAACGGAGTCTTAAAAGGAAAACATTTTATTGGAAGAACATGGTGGGAGTATATACGCAGAGTTAAGTCTCTCTCTCTCTCTCTCTCTCTCTCTCTCTCTCTCTCTCTCAACCGTCTAAGAGATAAGATGATCCATAGATTGGTCATTTCTCTATCTTATCAGAACATTTTTTTGCAAGGACGGTGATGTGTACCCTTGTTTTAGTCTCTTAGTTAATTACATTAGTAAACTAATGACTTGTAGAGAGAGAAAGTTTCTTCTGGTTTTCTCCTCTCATATTCCAGTTTTTTTATTCATTCCAACAAAGATTTTGGAACTCCGAAACCTAAAAAATCATGTAAAGTTTCTTGGATGCCACTAATCTTCAGCATCGAAAGAGTCTTAAGTTTGACTACTTGGGGTGGACAAACTTATTTGCTCAGTGATAAACAATGTTGCTCATGCGTGTACAGAGAGGAATTCAAATGGAACCATGCCACAATGTGGTCATCATTCAAATGAAGCTCAATCAACATCGATCCAGCACGTCTCGGCTTTGAAACACGTGAAATACCTTATTACTCTTCTTCCTCATCTATTTCATGCTTTTTTTTGGCCGAAGAGCAAGCGGTGGAGTTCTCCATGAGGCGAGATGAGTCAGGGGACGACATGGATGTGGTGGAGGAAGAGACGGCAGTCACATCTCGACGGGGAGGAAGAAGAAGACGCCGAGCGTCCGTCCATCGCTACGGTCAACGCGCCGAAACGGCGCTTCATATTTGCCGCCACCGATGAAGGGGTCGGCGCGTGTGAATACGGTGCTCGGGTCGGCGCAGCGTTCACGAGCCCTCGCCGCTTGACTCGATCCACGTGTGGTGTACGTAGCGTAGTCCACGCAAGCGCTTCATCTTGCTGTCTTGTGATACGTGGGTGGTACGAACTCGCTGTGCCTATGCATCACACGCGGTTCCGATTTCTTGGGTGTAGAAATTTTTGTTGTAGGCGCCCCCATTTGACATTTTTGCCGGTACGCTTTCGTAAATAATTCAGATAGGAAACCAGAAGCTTTCAATTATTTTCTAGCTTTGACTAAATGCTTGTGATCAACATCAATTAATTAAGATTATGTCTCGCTTACTAACTTTAAGTTGCCTTTTTGATGATGATGATTGAGGAGATATTAGTTCTCACCTACATGGCTTTTGGCTGTCAAAAGGGACAAAATATAATGAAACTAATTTGTCGTGCTAGAAACTCTTTTCACAAAAAACTTATGGCTTCCATCATTTGATTACTTGAAGATCTCACAAGGGGCGTCGATCCACACCACTCACAGGGCAGAGTGTGGGTTAGCCCTACAAACCCATTACATGCTCATGTTTTATTAGTTCGAAAGTCCTATAATAGCCAACGTGACATGAACCGAGTATCTCCACCAAACCAAAAAGTCAGTCAAAATACCGAACGAACGTCAACATCCTAAAGACTCGAGATGATTCATGGCAACTGCAGTCGCACGAACAAAACATGTTCCCCCAGACCCGTTTCAACGGTTCTCGCAGACGACAAACAGCAGCGGCAACAAAAATAAGCGCCCTCCTCCCAAACAAACTTCTATTCTGGAAGTATCTGCTCACTGTCTGCATCTCCTTCCTCCTCTACCTTGGGCTTTGATGGAGTTGGGCCAGCCCCTGGAGCTTGCTTCTTCTTGATCCCGCTCACTATGTCATCAATCCTCAAAAGCATGCAAGCAGCCTCCATGGCTGTCTTGAAAGTTTGGGCCTTAACATTGTACGAGTCCCATATCTGAAGAACGCAAGGAAAATTACAGAGTCGGGCGAGTGAGCAAGGAGAGAGGCAGAAAGAGAGAGATCAAGGAATGGAGGGAGTCATCAGCAGCACCGTACCTTCCGCTCCTTCATATCCACAATATCACCAGTATTTCCATCAATGCCAGTCCATTCATTTCCAACATCAGCGTGCTGCAGCACAAAGTAAGCAAATGAGGTGATCCTGTAGTCCAGTTGATCCATGATCATCGAAAACAACAAGCATTGTCAAGAAAATCAAGGCCGTGGTTCCTTAATAGAGACATGTGCATAGATAGGCAAAGCTGTCAAATGACGACCAAAGCAAATCAAAATGAGGACCAGAACTTACCAGACAAAGTAAATCTAAATAAGATCACAAAAGAAGTTAAGAGAGAGGGCCAGAGTTTACCTTTCCTTGGAGGGCAGTCATTGTCCGAATGACATTCACTCCACAATTCTGTGCTAAGGTTCGTGGGATAGCCTCAAAAGCTACAGCAGCAGCTTCATAAGGCCACTAATATGATCACCACCCAAAAAAAAAAAAACGCATCAGTGTTTGGTGTATAATTTACTTGTTGCATAAGAATGAAATGGAGTGGTAAATGGAGATCTAACTATCACCTTTTCTATCCCTTCGATCGATGAACTCTTCTGCTTTAAAGCTGCAGATACTGTTAATTCTGTTGCACCACCACCAGGAAGAAGTTTTGGGTTTTTCAAGATGTTCCTTGCTACTGACATAGCATCCTGTGGATGCAGACTTAGTTATGGCACATTACATACATAATTAAATGAACATCTATTAGCATGAAGAGATACCTGCAAGTTCCTTTCGACCTCATTCAAAAGATCCTTACTGGCACCTCTCAATAAGACAGTACAGGCTTTTGGATCTTTGCAATCCACAATAAATGCAAAGAACTCATCACCAAACTTCTTGACCTCGAAAAGCCCAGCTCCAGTTCCAACATCAGATTCTTGCAATTCCTCTGGCCTATTGACAACAACAGCTCCACAAGCCTTTGCGATCCTGTTATTGTCAGTTTTTCTCAATCTCCGGATAGCACTGACTCCAGCCTTGCTGAGATAATGGCATGCAAGGTCACTGAGCCCTTTTTCTGTAATGACCAAGTCAGGTTTGAACTTCAATATCTGCATGCACATGTTCTGTATGTATTCCTCTTCCAGCTTCAGCAGAATTTCCCTGGCAATGGAGGCAAATATGTTATGCACTCTTCGGTAAGCTTATGTCAAGTAGAATGCTAAATTTTGATGAATGAGACAATTGATACATAAGAGCTTATGAAACTTTAATTTCACTAATAAAAATGTTATACTTGATATCCAAAATTAAATCAAAATTTATCATGCCTAAGCTGCCTGGCCACTTGTATGTATGCACAGCACCTTACTAAATATGCTATTAAAAAGCCGTTACTTGCCTCAAAAACCACCATTAACAGAATTACATGCCATCCAGAATAATCTACTAAAGAAAACATGACATCCAAATACTTTTTGCTTATCTCACAGATGAGTAGGCTTGAACTGACAAAAGCATTCTTGTAATAGGCACTTCTCAATTATCATAGTCAGGCATGTGCAACATGTTTGCTGATGGCAGGCATGCTAAAATACCAATCAAGTTCTTACCAGTCTTCTTCTTTTACCAACTCAGCATTAGTCTGATTTTCTCCTTTCTTATACTCAAGGGGGCAATCAAGTAGAATAATTCGTGGGAACAATATCCTCCTCCTCATTTTTCCAGGGGCAACAACATCTTTGTTAATCATTACTCCCTTGAGGACCTTGGAATCCTCCAGCTGCCCTCCAGGAATCTTCTCAATTTTTATGTACTTTTTAATATCAACCTCACGTAAACCTTGACCAAGGTCCACACCAACTGTTGTTGTAGCCTCAATGGCAAGATCCTGAAAACAACAATATCAAGAGTTAGAATTATCAGGAGCAAAAGCAAACTGATAACACGTACCTTAGGCTATGCAGCCTTGCCGACACTTGAATATAGCCTTCTCATGTTTCACTAGTATATGAAAGAATTTACTTCATTTTCTATGACAAGAATAAGATGATAAATATAAATTTAAGCATGAATATGATTATTAAAATCTTTTCATTAAAATATACCTTAATAGTTCAGATATAAAATGAAATTGCTCTACTGTCAAAACATGGTGTGTGATATAGTAGCTACTACAATAAACAACAATATAATTATGTTTTTAATAGACGCCCGAGCGCTCACCTGCAAGGCTTGAGTGCCTCGCACAACGTCCGAGGCAACACGCTTCATTGAAGCGTCGCTTGAGCACTTGACTGAGCCCAAGCACCAAGCGCCTCAAGCAAGTGCCTGATTGAATGCCGACGAATCGAACCAGAATGTGAACTCTATTTCAATTAAATAGTAACTTAGTTGGTTCGATCGAACCAACTAAACCTAATAGTAAACCCCAACCCCTCGACCCAATGAAACCCTAGACTCTCACTGCTTGACCCAACTCTGGTCCACCATCGTTACCTTTGTACACAGCTCCCTTCGTCGCCAACGAACAGGTCCGAAGCTTCCTTCACCCTTGACGCCACCGTCCATAATTTCCACCCTTGACGCTGTCGTCTGAGGCATCCTTCACTGTCGAGGGATTGGTCCGAAGCTTCCTCTACAGTCGATGAGCACATCTGAAGCTTCCTCCGCCATCGATGTCGTCGTCTGTAGGAAGTTGCAAACTTAGGCCCAAGCCGCCCAACAAGCAAGTTGATTTTATCTTATATTATCATTTTTATAATTTCACTAGGTATAACAATATCAGCAAATTACCAATTTGATAAAATTTAATTTGGTTGACCTTGCACCAACAAATCCCTCTAATATATGATAGAATTTAAATTAGCTTCCATAAGAAATATTAGACGAGATTTTATTTTATAATCAAATTTATCAATCATAATATATTATTTTATATTTTAATATTCTAGAGCATTTCGCTTCACATGGGCGGGCACTTAGATGAGCGCCTAGCATCTTGAGCATTTTAAGAGCTTAACACCCAACGCTTTTAAGAAGATTGATTCATCTAAATAAGATACCAGTGGTAAGGGCCTCGGAACAAAGAGTAAAAAGAGAGTGTATTGCCATAGGTGGAAGTTTTTAATAATTTTCATGGGTGATCGAGGATCTTCGAATCATTGTCATATGATAACACTTTTTATCTAACGAGGCTCATACAATTAACTGAACTCCACAGATTTATTGCTTATACCCAGAGCCACAACATATGCGAGTCATAGTCCTGATGGACTGATGGAGTAATGCTTAGCTTCGCTGACCTTGAATTTGCCTAGCCTTTTCTGTTTTTGTCCCTGCTCTTCAGCCTGCCTCTAGAACTTTTTTCTTAGCACAGTAAATTGTCATATAGATGGACGAGTGATTCTTGAGGCTATGTGAGAATGATCCAGATTTTTAACAAAAAAGGCTGACCATCTAACATTTTAGCTAACATTGCCTTTTGCCCATAAAAGGCTAAAATGAAGCAATGAGAAGATAATAGAAACAAGTTCAGCAGCACCACTAATCAAATAATGGACATGTAAAAGATGGAGATTGATTGAAAATTATGGTGAATTCAGCAGCATGTGGCTACTGATCAAACAAGCAATAATGCATCTCATAACCTTAACATGTTTATCATCATTCCTTATGCTACATGACAAGCTCTCAGTGTGGAGTAATCAACAATGTCTTCTATATGGTAGCAGTACAGCAACAACATGGCAAAATCATGTATAATACCATTTAAAAATCCTTACAGCAAACTGTTGATTCCAAATGGTTGCATTTAAAAATTGTTGATTACAGCAAATTGTTCATTATCCTCTAAAACGAACACTGTATACAGCACAAATAAATACTTACAGCAATGAGGCCCCCGAATTGCCCAGTAAATTTTGTACCAATACAACTTTTGACAAGGCTCAACATTGTGGCTCCTGCAAAAAAATCAATTGGATAAAAAAAAGCTAATCAGACATCATTCAGACAGGAATTAGATAAAGAAGTGAAGGGAGATGCATAAGAGTTAAAGAAAAGAAATACATGAAAATCATAACAACACAATGTAGCATTCAACCAATTGTCATGACCATAAAAAAAACTTGCCAAACATCAGTGAAATATACAAGTAAAGTAAATTAAAACTTACGGTCAGTCACATCAATAGGCATTGCAATTTTATCCAGAACAGAGATAGAATCTTCAAGAGCTTTATTGTATGCTGAAAAGGCAGATGAGTGCTTAGAAACATACAAACTTTTACATAAACCGTGTGATGTAAATTAAACCACATTCCCTTTTAATGGTTTCACAATTACCTCGACATATAACAGTAGGATGGTAGTTCTTGTCAATGAATGTTGCAGCAACATGGAGCATCTCGCCAGCTTTTAAAATTGACACAAAATTAGCATTTCCCGTAATAAAATGTTCATGTTCACTCTCAGAACAAAAGTCATGCACTGAAATTAGTTCAGGAAACAAACAAGGAAACCAGAAAAAGATAATAAAAGCATGCTTCCCAAGTATAATCTACAAAGATAGAAGTGATGGTTCAAAGATGATGCACCCCAAACTAAGTACACAAGAAAGAATCCAGTAGATTGTTTTCCTTTGTTCATTTTGACTATGTATTACATAGTTAGCCAGATGATCACGAAAGTTCCTTATTAAGTGATGAATTCACTAGAAGATCAAAAAACAAATCACAGGACACACCAAGTACAATGACAGATGTCGTGCCATCTCCAACTTCTTCATCCTGAGTGCGGCTTAATTCAATCATTGACTGCCAAATCACACAAAAAGAAAACAAAAAGCATAGTATTAAACCAACCATGCACACATTAAGGTCACAAAGCCTGTTTCAAGAGCTCTTAAGTAAACAAAACAGCGTAAAACAAGAATCTCTAAAATTCATGACATTACGGTTAACCTGTCAATTAAAACTAATAAACAATACACAAGCAACTTAGTGCAACTGGAATCAACCAGCATGACAAACCTTAGCAGCTGGGTGAGCAAGATCCAGCTCACGTAGTATAGCATTTCCATCATTAGTAACTACAATTCCTAGCAAAAGCAACCATTTGAACAGAAAAAGGTCAGGTGAGAAAATTTAATCGCATATGTAGAGTGATGGATAGCATAATACACTGTTACATGCAGTATAAGACAACTAAAACCAAGGCTAAGAGTACGATGAACCACTTAGACCACTGCCAGTAAGAACAGCAGAGATATTATGGCAGATAACATTAGCAGAGATATTATGGCAGATAACATTAGCAGAGGATGCATACTTTAAGAAAAGAATATGTGATGAACATGACAACATTTGTTTGTTATCGCCGACAAGTCCCAAGTAATCTTTGAAAATGTATAATGCGTACCTCCTGCAGCATCAAGTAGCATCTTAAGCATAGATCGAGGACCCAAAGTAGTTCGGATTATGTCAGCCACAGCCTAAAAATAAAATGGAATTAGGAAAAGGAAAATGACGCAACAAAGTCCAAATTTAGAATGGAAAAATGATGCCAACAACAATATCAAGAGGTGTTCATTCTCAACTGTTATAACTAGCAACATAGATCTTCCAAAAGTGAACCTGTTAAGTGTTAACAGTCATCATGCCCAATCACAAGCACAGCAAGCAATGACAATACAACCAATCACATACATCTTTCACAACTGAACCTGTTACGAGCGGTCATGCCCAGTAACAAAGACAGCAAGCAATGATGAGACAACCAATCACTTGCAATTTGCTTGAAATTGCAATATGTGAATATGGCAGACATTTAAAATATCTTGTAAAGTTCATCAAAAAACCACACAAAACCTCACTGCATTATGGCATCCAGCATTTAGCCAATTCCTTAACAAACTACCTCATCATAGGTACTTGCTTCAGCTCTCTAGCTCTCAACCATGCAAACTCCAGATCCAACCCGAAATGATCGGGACATTACAGCTTCTGTCGTTTTTAAAACAACTCCAGCCCAAAACTATATCAAGATTGCCTTCTACAAAATATGATTGTGACAAAGTCTGCAAAGGGATCTTAAATCAAAAAAGCAAAACAATAATCTATCATAGACTCAACTTAACATAGACTCAGTCAGAGGATATATTAGCCGATCAGACTGTATCGTGGACATTGTATATCTCACTTTCTGGAAGACCTATCTATTTCACAGATTATAGAAACTCGTTAACTTCATAAGGAGATCCTCGTGACTTGGTACAATTTAGTAGATCAAATTGGAGGGCATCATTCTTTTTCCATGAAGCAGAAATGAACCAGTAAGTTGGATAATAAGTATCCAATATTAGAAATGGGGGGTGAGAAGGAGAGAGATCCTTCAAGCATGGCACATCTTACAAGCTAATGCATAACCTCAAAGAATGTCCTATGTCAACCCCCAATTTCTTGACTTATCACTTACATTATCATAAGATATCAATCATTAAAGACAAAAAAAAATCTAGGCAGCATAAACAAAAGACAAGTTCAAATTACATCACACAAGTTTCTGGAAACATAAAAAGGAGAAATACTGCAGCATAAAGAAAGCGACAGTTTAAATTACATCACATGAGTATCTAGTAACATCAAAAGGAGAAAGACCACGGAAATAAGAAAATGAAGCATTTGTACAACACAAGGACAGCAAACATGCCCCTGCAACCAGGCACTCCACCTAAATTAGTCATGAAATCAGAAGGAGTTGTTCAACTCTTTTGATGACAAAATCAACAAAGAAATACAGTATAGTATATGACAGAACACATTTCAAAATCCACTTAGCTCCAAATTAATCATCTTGAGGCCCTATTCAAAGTTAACAAAACATTCAACAGACCGTCAAGCATAGAAACAGTTAAAAAAATAAAAGTCTTTCTCACCTTAGAAGCTTGGATGTTGGCATGATGAACCTTACTTCCAGATTCCCGTTTTAAAGAATCCTCTGCTCAGAATAATTAGATCAACTTGTTAGATGAACCTTACCGAAGTGGGAATAAATCTCAACGAGTCCTACAAGCAAGCATTCGACAACTTCAAAAACTAAAGGAAGGAAAAGGGTTCGATCAAGAATCAAAATTTCTCTTCGAGAACAGAACCAAAACAAAGAAAATGCCCAGCCAATATCAAGGATTCCGAGACACCAAAAGACCAACCGCAACAACGGAACCCGAGGAGGCCACCCAAGATCCATCCGACTACGAGTTATCACGAGAGCCAGAGGAGCTTACTGAGAACGAGAACCGGGGCGTGCATGGCTGCGGATAAAGGCGCGGCGGATCGACCGACTCCCTTCTGCTTCCTGTTCTTACGGCGGACAGGACGACGACCACAACGGCAAGAGCGGAGAACGGGGTTTCGACGACGAGCACCCTTCGGCTTTTGAAGAGTTCTCGAAACCAAAACCCCCGCGCCCTAACCCTAAATCTCTGTCGTTCGGTTGTCTCTCTTGCGCTTTTTCCGCATCGACCCCTAACAAAATAAATATAATGTAAGACGACGGAGCTTGTTTTACACATACATCCTTATACTCCTGTTATTTTTAATAAAGTCCATCAAATATATTAGAATCATTCACCAAATTGAGATATAATTTTAATTCTAATAATCAACAATAGTTATTTGATTACTTCTGATTTTAAAACTTATATCTGAATAATTATTTAAATTTATTTCATAATTCTTTATCAAATTTAACTTTATCATCTATATTTATGTTTCCTATTTTTTTTAATGAATATTCCATTATCTTTGATAGAAATTTTTCATACAGTCTATTTTATTATGTGAAAAGATAATTTTATCTCTTTGTTCTGTCAAACTCATCTTGCTCCTGTGCGACGAAGAAGAAGATATAGAGGTGATAGTAATCCTCACATCTCTTCCTTCCTCTCGTGAGAGTTATAACCCTAATGTTGCTTTCGTAACATTAGGGTTATGGGCAAGCATGATAAGAATGAGAGTATGAGATATGAGAAGGTAACTGTGGTTCCATAAGATGAGCAAAATTATTTTTTTACGTAATTTTTTAAAAAAATTGGGATACAACGTGCAAATTTATCGAAGATAAGATATTTTTTTTTGAGAATTCGTTAAAAAAACAATATAAAAAAATGAATCAGTTTATTTTCCAATATAATTATTTTGCAAAAAAACACATGGGTGGGCCCGTGCCTCCACTTACACTGTTGTCTTCCTGTTCTTTGGCTGATAAGATGCGGGATGCCGCCCGTCGTCGTCGCCATCTCATCTCGCCCAACCTTTTCTGCTTTGCAGGTGTCACTGACGTCTCCCTTCCCCCCTCCTCCTCTTCCGCCTCTCGCACATCCCAAGACACTCTTTCTGTACGCTTTCCTCTGTTCCCCCTCCTTTTCCTTTGCTTTTGTATGAAGCTCAGCGACGATCGAGAAAGGAGGAGGTCTCCGTATGACGCGATGGTGCGGTAGGTTGACGATCGGTTCCCCATATCCTTCTACTTCAGCATCGTGATCAAGTTTCTGAGACAGGTTGGATTCTTTTCTCCTCTCTTGGGGTTTCCTTACCATTTTCCTTCTTTTCTTTGTGCTAAAGAAGAGGGTATTAGAAAACGTTTGGATTTTTTTCTTCTTCAGAACTAGGCTGAGGTTCATAGGAAGGAAGGGAAATTGGATTGACTTCACCTTGCCCTCAGCCGTTACGTCAGGTGAGTTAATTGTTTACTTGGTTGATTTTTGGGGCTTTCTTTCAATTAGATGATGCAAGTCTGATCTTTGCGATGGTGGTTGCAAGATGATTTTCGGATAACAAAGCAAAAGGTTCAACTTTGTTTGATTGTCTTTTTCTTTTTTGATATTTGAATCGTAGAAAGATATGCAATTTGTAAGTTTGCTTCGTGCGACTAACAGAGAGAGATTTTTTTGTCACTACTTTTGCTTGATTTGTTCAGGTGACATTGAATAAAAACCTCTTATCACTCTACCTTGAATTGATGGCCCAAAATTCTTAATTTTCAGCATTTTGCTTTTAGTAGGACGCATTGCTAAGTGAAAATTGTATCTTTTAAAGTGATGAAGTTTACTGGATTGGCAGACTGGTGTCAGAGGTGATTCCTCAACGTCAAAGTTACTTGAAGCAATCATCAAAGGAAGAACTTCATCTTAGGAAGGTATGTTCCTGCTATTTATAGATGAAAGGTTGAAACCTTTGTTCCTTTCTTCTTATATTGCCTGTATCACATTGCAGGTCCCCCAAGACTCGATTAAAGAGATTGAGAAATTGAAGCCATTACTCAGTATGAATAATGATGCGAGTGGTGAGCAGCTTGGGAGGAGATGTAAGCATAACATAGATGGTTTGAGATCACCATCTCAAAGGTGGACCAAGAAGATTTTAAGCTTCTCTAGCTTCAAGGAGAGGAAGGTATTATTTTTTCTGCAAGTTTGATGATTTCTGTTTAATTTCTTTGCCTATTTGTTTTGCTTCTTACATGATTGATGAAAAACAGAATTGGATTGCCAAATTGTACAATATGGGCATGCTACATTTCTCTTATGCATGCTGCATATCTCGCAGTTCTAAATGTCATTATGCATGTTGCATATCTCACAGTTCTTTTATTTAGTTCATGATTAGATGAGACATGAGTTCTTGGTTTCAAAGGCAATTAAATTTCTCGGTTAACATAGAGCAGAGAATTCTTCTTGTGGAGCATGTTTTCAGAGCACAAACACTGATTACAGACATTACTTTTGCAGCACAGATTTTTTTTTTTTTTGGACAAACTAATTCTATTTTCCATGAGTTTTCAGTACTTAATATGACATTAGAATCCTTTCATGAGGATTTAATTCTGGAAATTCAAAAATAATGTTAATTTTATGAAGTTAAGAATACATGGCCATATCAAATTTATGCCAGAAAGGATGCTGCTCTGAATTTTATAGCAGAATTTCTACCTGCTTCAATTTCCGTTTACTAGCTTGCCTTTATCCTGACTATGGTTTTCAAGTTCAAAAAATTACAGCATTTTTTAAATCCTTTTTCCTGTGCTTGTGAGGATATCAGTTTTTTGTTTTTATTTATTTAAATATTCAGCTTTGGTCTCAATTTCTTCGCTGAATGCCTGACCGTTTTTATCTATTTCATTCTACAAACATTATCATCAGGTTGAGCGTTGCTGTTCAAGAAGAACAGGTCAAAGGTATTATGTCCGTTCTTTTCGCACCTTTTCTTTTCCTTTGCATTAATGTGGGGATTACATTCAAAACATACTTGTCAAAACTGACAGTTTGGAGAACAGTTGTGGAACAGATAATATCAATTTGGCGACAGAAATTGCACTACATGCCAGCAACAGACCTTCGCGAACCGTGTTTCCATTATCTGGTGACAAAGCTAGAGACTGTAACAACGATGTTCATGTTGTCAAGCACTACTTTCCTTCTCCTGTTGTTTCTTGGGTGGAGGATGCATCCTTTTCTGGGCAGGTTTCTCATGTTGTTGTTCCTGAATCAAACAATGGATTGGAACCTTCACATGGAGACTCTTCTACATCAAATCCCAATCAAGATGTCCATATAGTAAGTGTTGACCTTTAATTAGTATCTCTTTTTGCTTTCTGCATTTGAATGACTCATGTTTTGTAGCTTTGAGAATTTAAAATGTATGCTGGTCAAATTTTGTACTCTTTTCATGCTACAGATAATTTATTTTGAAACTCGATAAGAAGAGTCTTCATGTGTTCTCTTTGCAGTCAGTGAAGCTGAAGGAAGAATTTCTAGATCTTGCTAAAGAGAACACGAACAAGGACTTGGAGACTTGTGGCATTCTTGGTGCTTTCCTTGTAAGCCTGAAACCCAATTGGTTACTTAATAGCTCTTAGATTTATTAGGTATTAATGGCACCACAATTCTTCTATTTGTTTTTTTTGGAATACGAAGCATTCTATGTCTAGTTAACAGACTTTCTTTGTCTAAAAAGTTAACTAATTTCAACATTGTGGATGCAGAAGAATCACATTTTCTACATAACCACCCTAATAATACCAAAGCAGGAATCAACTTCCAATTCAGTATGTTAGTAATTGATTACAGTAGATTCATCTTTTATTTTGGGAAACTGATTCACTTTTCTCACCAATTATATGTTCTAATAAATGGCAGTGCCAAGCAATAAATGAGGAGGAGATTCATGCTATACTGGATGAGATGTCCCTTTATCCTGCAGGATGGATTCATGTAAATACCTTATTTTCCATTGTTCTATTCATCCTTTTTGTACATGACAGATTAGTAGAACAATGTTGATCAACAAGGAGAATATAGAGGACAATCAACATGCTTTTTCGTGTTCTTATTGTTTCGACGAAATTATGTTGAAAGCTCAGCCTTTTTGTCCTAATCATGATGGATTTCAATCAATAATATTCTTGTTTCTTATTTATGCTTGTTACTTGTGCTGAATGTAATATTGATGTTTTCTAGATATATCATTAATTAGCCTTGACTAACATTTCTTTTTGCAGACACATCCGTCTCAAAGTTGCTTCCTGTCGTCAATCGATTTGCACACTCAGTACTCTTACCAGGTATTCAAGTGCTTGTTCTAGTTTCAGTTAGATAAAACTACATTTCTTGATATGATAAAGTTCATTTTACATATTTTGCTGTCATGCTGTAACAACATGGTGTTTTTTTCATGCACATGACAACAGTTGCTGGACAGTGCCTCTTTGCTGCACAAAGCAGTTTCTTTGTCTTTTTCTCTTTTCCATTTGGGAAGATGCCTAAATATATTTCATCCCATGCATGTTGGCATCAAATTCTTAATCCTGATCTGCAGCAACATGTATAACTAGCTGTGTCTTGAAGTACTTATGTAGTCGCCTGAAGGATGCATAAAATTGTTAGCCACCAAGAAGTAATTTTGCATGATCAAGTGCCTCTATCTCGTTCTTCAGAAAACTTGCTTGTGTACTTGATGTATATACTATAGGGCATTTTCCTACCAAATCTTTCTGCTGGCTGTATGCTAATACATGTTTTTATAAATTCTGGTAGTTAACGTATTGTAGGCATATAAGGTGGCACCCCTGTTCCTTACATTCATATGCCTCAGCTAACTACCATTCATCAGATTTTTATGGTTGAAGCACAATGCGAAGTTAATATGCAATCAAGCATAGATCACATCCATCGATCGTTGCAGTTACAATAAGTTGGTATTTTCTTTTAGGTCATGCTACCAGAGGCAATTGCAATCGTCATGGCTCCAACCGATCCTAAAAGGTACTAGTATCATCGTGTAACAAGTCAAAACTTATATGTTTACTATGATGTTTATGGTTTCTGTTTATCCTATGGTTGTCATATATGAAATCTGGAAAATGATTCTGACTTACATTTGAGCCTACATGTCATGATGCTTCCTGGACCGGTTACGTAAGGATGAACACCTTCTTCCATGGTAGGAGGGAAATGATCCTTAATTGCATCAGCATCTCACAAGGAGGGTCTTGTTTGCGGTGTCTTGAGCTCTTACACTGCATGCAAACAACAGGATTCATTAGTTTATTTTTGTAGTGTGATTACTGGGCTTGACTTTTGTAGTTGACATGCAAGTTCTAAATGTGTTGACTGGAGTTTTCCCTTGTAGCACATGTGGAATATTTCGGTTAACAAATCCCGGAGGCATTAATGTTCTGAAAGAGTGCAAAGAGAGTGGCTTCCACCCTCACCCTTCTGCTTCTGATGGAAGTCCAATCTACGAGAGCTGCTCCAACATTTATGAGAATCCAAATCTAAGGTTTGAGATCATCGATCTCCGGTCTTCTTCATGACGGATATCATCTGCAGCTGCTGTGAGGGTTTTGAATGTGTTTATTGTACATACATATAAGCCAGTCTGGATTTTGTATTTGGATTGCACGTTTATTATTTTACTAGCAAATAAACAAGTCTGTCTGTTTAGGTCTGTAAATGTAAATATCTGAATAATATATTGTGACAAGAGAATTATAATGATATATTGAATTAGATGAATCTACTTTCATTAATTGTTTTATCATCATTCTGGATTTTAGGTGATTTAATTATATTGAATTAATGTCAGGTTTTTTATTAGATAATTTTTTTATAAAAACAATAATAACTTAAAACAATCTCAAATTCACATACCAAGGATGTAATTAAGAACACGACATCTTAAAATTTACGAGTTCTATATTACTCATGTAATTAATTATTTTTAATATTTTAATTTTTATATTTTTAAAAATTATATTGAGATCATTATACATATGAAAGTAAAATATTTAATTTTATTTTTAGAAATTTCACGTGAGGTATTTTTGTCAGCAATAATAACTTAAAATTAAGAACACTAGATATTATAAAATTTATGGGTTACATATTACTCATGTAATATTTTTATAAAATAATAATAACTTAAAATATTCTCAATTTCACATATGAAGGATGCAATTAAGAATACTTAGGACATCATAAAATTTACGGCTTATATGTTACTCATATAATTAATTATTTTTAATATTTTAATTTTTATATTTTTAAAAATTATATTAAGATCATTATATTTATGAAGGTAAAATATTTAATTTTATTTTTCGTTGTGTCGACTGATAAAAATATCACGTGAGGTATTTTTGTTAGTAAAATCGATAGTGAGAAAAACGAGATTAAATATTTTACTTTTATAAATATAAAGATCATATTATAAATTTTAAAAGTATTATAATCGAAATATTAAGATAGTTAATTACAGTATTATATGTAATTAATCCGAAATTTACTGTATAGCGATCCCTTTTAATGTTAATTATTTTTACCGATAATAAATGATGCATCGCATGAACCCATTATTTGTTACCGTGTGTTATAACGGTTTACGAGTTCCCGTTATATGCTTTTATAACGGGACCTCGTCCTCCCAATGTCGCCCTAATGGACGTGCTTAAACCCTAAATCTATCGGCGATCGGAGAAAGGACGGATTCCGAAGCGAAATGCTCTTGAATCGCTCCTCGATCGGGCCATCGTCCTTTTTCCGTCTCAATTCCGGTCTCTCTCTTCTTCATAGATTCCTCTTTTCTACCGAGCAATTAGGAAACAAGAAACCGGACGGCGAAGCGGCGTCCCACGATGACGTCGCCGCCGTATTCCGCATCATCATCACCTCCTCCTCCAGCGAGCACATGGCGAGATCCCTCATGGAGTCCAAAATCTTCCTTTCCAATGATCTGATCGATGGGGTCCTCAAACGGCTGCGGTTCAGCCACGGGAACCCCTTCCGGGCCCTCGAATTCTTCGAGCTCACCGGAAAACGGAGAGGATTCTTCCACACCGACTTCTCCTACGACACCATGCTCTTTATCTTGGGCCGAAGCCGGAGATTCGAGGAGGTCTGGCGGTTGCTGGTGGAGATGCGGCGGAAAGATCGAACCTTGATCACTACCCGCACCGTTCAGACCGTCCTTGGCCGGATCGCCAAGATTTGTTCTGTCCGGCAGACGGTGGAGAGCTTTCGCAAGTTCCGCAAGCTCTGTGTCGAGTTCGACACCAATTGCTTCAATGCTTTGCTGAGGACTATGTGCCAAGAGAAGAGCATGAGCGACGCCCGTAATGTGTATCACAGCTTGAAGCATGACTTCAAGCCTAACCTTCAGACGTTTAACATATTGCTGTCGGGTTGGAAGTCGGCCGAGGAGGCTGAAGGCTTTTTCAAGGAGATGTCCGAGCTGGGAGTGAAGCCAGACTTGGTCTCGTACAATTGCATGGTAGATGTCTACTGCAAGAATCGTGAAATGGAAAAGGCATATAAGATAGTTGATAAAATGCGTAAAGAAGAGATCTATCCGGATGTTATCACATATACTGGTTTGATTGGTGGACTGGGATTGATCGGTCAGCCCGATAAGGCTACAGATGTTCTGAAGGAGATGAGAGAGTGTGGATGCTACCCTGATGCTGCAGCTTATAATGCAGCTATTCGTAACTTCTGCATCGCAAAAAAGTTCAGAAATGCCTTTTCTTTGATGGATGAGATGGCAGAGAGGGGACTGTCCCCTAATGCCACGACTTACAATCTGTTCTTCAGGTGCTTCTATTGGGCTAATGATCTAGTGAGTGCATGGAGTCTGTACAAGAGGATGAGGACGGAGGGGTGCTTGCCCAACACGCAGTCATGCATGTTCCTTATTAGGCTGTTCCGCCGGCAGGAGCAAGTTGGAATGGCTCTCGAGCTTTGGAATGATATGGTGCAGAAAGGATTTGGGTCGTTCACGTTGGTCTCAGATGTATTGTTTGATTTGCTCTGTGATGCAGGAAAGATAGATGAGGCTGAGAGGTGCTTCACTCAGATGATCGAGAAAGGGCAGAAGCCGAGCAATGTGTCATTTAGGAGGATTAAGGTTTTGATGGAACTGGCAAATAGGAAGGAGTCTCTTAGGAATCTGATGGAGAAGATGACTGTGTTTCAACACATAGCACCCTTGGATGACAGAAGAGCCGATGAATCACCCGAAGGATCACCATCCTGCTTGTTACAACCCTGTTGAATTAACAACTCTTGTCCCATTTGCTTGCAATGTTTCTGCACTGGGAATATATGGTTGTGAGAAATAATAGCTCAAGTACTACTCAGAAGCCGGTACTCGAAGTAAAATATGGCTCCTTTGTCACTCAACAATGGTTAGAAGCCTAGAACAAATGTACCAAATCGGTATAGTCTTGAAAAGCATGGGCAATCGTTCAGGTTGGCCTAAATTAAACACATGGATCTTGGATGGAACACCCGCAAATGGGGGAGGCCTCGCTTGTGTTGTTCGAAGATCTAATGGTGGTTTGGTGGCTGCAGGGTGTGAAAATTGGGCTTGGGAGTTGAAGCTTATTCTTAAGAATTGTGTCGATGTTCTGGATTATCCATCGAGTGCCTGTGTTTGTAGGGAGGCAAACAGGGCTGCTAACTGGATGATCAAATATGCTAGATTTTACAGGTGTTTATAGCAAGGGATTTTCCTGATGATTTTCTAAGCATTTTTAGAGAGGATAACCTAGGATCTTCAGTAATTAATTCGTCCTGAAATGGATTTGACTGTCTTTCTTGACTTGATGTTTTTGGCTACTTCAGTGTAATGCTAGTTGTTGATTGAACCAAAAAAAATAGGGTTCTTTAACAAGGATTGGAGTTGTTATCTTGCTTTTGATTTCTGCTGCAGCAACATTCTTCTCAAATATTAGACAAAGAGTCTCTTGCTTTGTTTATTAGCCATCATCAATTAGCAACAATGTTGAACTTGTTTGAGCTCGAGACATGGAAATTAGTATTACATTGTTTACTTTGCTCTGTTGGTTCTCTTCCTCATGCAGGCTTGTGAAGGTGTGTGTGTGTTGTTATACCCAATAGTCGAGCTATAGCCATCTTTGACGCTGGTAGTTCTATATATAGAGTTTTACTGGAGGCACGAGGAAGAGCAGCAGCTGAGCATGGTAGGTGGCAGACATGGCTGAGCTCAGCCGGAGAAATTGGATCGAGAACACTATCACGTGGTTAGAAATCGCAAATTGCTGCGTGGATACGCAGACCAAGTAGAGTGAGCGGACCGGCATTTGGTGGATGTGACAGCAACCCGCGATGGCCGTCGCCGTCGTCGTCGTCGTCATCCAGCGATCAAACGCAACAAGGCCCTCCTCCCATTGATCTACAAGCCCTGGGGTCCATTACGTGACATCCTATGAGAGGAGATCCTCTCGCGTTTGGTGGCTCGGCCGAGACATAGGAGCCGTCGGCAAATCGACCCAAATCCAATTCCACAGGTTCGCGTATTTACGAATTTATCCAAAATTAATTTGTTACACGAAAAGAAAGTTCATTGATTGTTATTATCCATATCTTCTCATACGGATATATGTTCGTAAACTTGGGATCCCCAAATCAGATCAAATGGATCAGACGGTTATCGTCCATTTGGTTCGCTGAGTTGGCACCCGAACCGAGGTTCACACCGCGCCACATGTCGAACCTAAAGCCGAGGCTAAAGCCACAGCTCCGAGGTGGGACCCGAGGCAGCTGATGGGTTAGTTGGTCTGGCTTTGGTTGTTAACACATGCACTGCTCACCAAACCGCTTCATCCCATCAACCCGTCACGTGCTGCCCACACCCATCATGCTTAGAGCTTTCCACCTAAGAGTCTATATATATATATATATATATATATATATATATATATATATATATCCTTTGGATGAAGAATAGGAAAAAGGTAAAAAAGGAAGGAAGGAAAGAAAGACAATTCAAGTATAATGTAGTAATATTTATCTTGCACTTTGGTGCCGTAATGAACTCAAATGATGCTTTCCACATCAAAGCAATCCTTTTCGGCAGAGGTCATCTATTCATCCGAAGTAATATATTTGAATATGATTCGAATCATAGAGTTGGGAGTCTCATTCTTATCTGTATCCCACATGAAAACTTAGATCCATGACATCGACCGATCAACATGTTTATTTCTTGTGATAAGAGCCTCTTAAGTAGCCATGTCCAATTGGAAAAGTCAAGTCAAACTACGATATCTTTAAATTTCACATGGTAGGTGGCTCTTTGTTGGTCAATTGGTCAACATGGTCAATGGTCAATGGTCAATCCTCAACATGGATGATCTCATATTTTCAAAAAATTAAAATCTGATTTGGACTAATGTTTTTCTCCATTATTTTTATTTTTAGTGAATAGAAGAAAATTCTTTAAAAAATCATATTATCAAAGTATAGAACAGTTATTTTTAAATCTTTCAATTTTATTTACATAACACAGTGGATCTAAAATTTTCTTTATATGAGCATTCAGAAAGAGTAGTCTACCATTCAAAAACTACTGAAAACTAGATGTTTAATAGTGATGGCTTAGTCATAGATTTTGACATCCACTCACTCATAAGTAGAATTACAAATGCTTTGGTAGTTGCCACTTCCTCCCTCACCTACCACCACAAATGGATATGTTTGAAGGTGCATGACAAGACACAGTGATGCATGAGCAAAGATGAGACCAAACTTTAAGAAGCCATCAGTAAAACCAAGAGCAATTGTGCAAGCAATTTGACATTTACATGCATGTGTTGCTGAAATTGGACTTCCATGGTCAAACACAGGGAGGGCTTCATTATATGAACATTATGAGAACTGAGCCGTTAAAGCCGAGCCCAGCCGAGCCAAGCAAGCCAAATGGAATTAACGCCTATTCTCACCCTATTTTCGACCACCCGCAACGCATTACTAGCGTGCACGTGTCGTCCGATGACATGCTTAATTGGGGGTGACTATATCAAGATGCTCTTTATATACGACGTTGGTTGTCGTTCTCCCTCAAAAAATCTCTTCTTTGGAGACGGAGATGGGGGCGTTGAGGAGGAGGGTGAGCGCGGAGGAGCTGCGGGAGGTGATCCTCCGGAGCTGCGGCGTCGGCGGTGGTTGCAGCGGGAGGAAGGCGGGGCCAGGTGGCGTCCGGCGGAGAACAGGCGGGGATGGAACGGGGTGGGAGGAGGGGCGGGTGGTGTGCGTCACTGGGGCCGTTTCCTTCGTCGGGTCCGCCATCGTCCGTCGCCTCCTCGCTCGCGGCTACGCCGTTCGCCTCCTCGTCGACACCCAAGGTTTGTATCGGTGCCCTCTTCTCTTGTTTTCCTCCTCCGAATCACTTCTTGTTTTGTGGGAACAAATAATTCGATCTCCATGCATTAAATAAAGAAAAAAAGATCGAGAAAAAAGTGAGCTTTGATCGAAATAGAATTTCTATGATTATGATTTGCCATATTTAATTTCTATGTAATATTGGATGGACGAGATGAGAAGTAAAATAGGACATGTCTTTGCCGCCTCTCGATCTTGTAACGCAGCTCGGGAGGCTGCTCTCCCATTGATGGGCACCTCAAGATCCATGAAAGACACCCAAGCACTTGAGAATTGTAACAACAGAGACGTACGGATTCTCCAGCAATGGTTCTTTCGGTGTAGTAGATGGAGCTGCGAAAGCGATCATGAATGTGATATGAGAGTCATGCTGGCTCAATGAATGATGATGAAGTGTTTGCCTGACTTGGCTTTGCACGGACTTTCCCTCGCAGAGGACTTGGAGAAGCTGAGGGAGAAGGAGATGTTTCAGGGCGGCGGGGTGTGGGCGGCGGCGGTGGCCAACGTGATGGATCTTGACAGCTTGTGCCGGGCCTTCGACGGCTGCACCGCCGTGTTCCACTCTTCGAGTTCGGTGGATCCTCGTGGCATATCTGGCTACTCGGTGAGTTCAGTCCATCCATGGCAACCCAACTCCGAGTTATCTGCACCCCTGAACTTGATGTGGAGCAGCAAGCTGAGGAAACTGAAGTGATCTCTTCCTCTACAGAAGCACATGGTTGACGTCGAAGTGCGAGCAACTGAGAGAGTGATCGAAGCCTGCGTTAGGACTGAATCGGTCAGGAAGTGCGTCTTTACCTCGTCTCTGTTAGCTTGCGTGTGGCGACAGCGTGATCCTTGCCATGCTCGTCGTGCCACCATCGTCGACGACAACTGCTGGAGTGATGAGACCATCTGCCGGGACAGAAAGGTGAGCCAAAACATTTCTTATGCTCGACGCAACTCAAAATCTACCTTTCTTATGCTGAACTTGCTTCAAACAATATTTCCCAGTTGTGGTTTGCGCTGGGGAAGACGATGGCAGAGAAGGCAGCCTGGAGAGTGGCCCGAGGAAGGGACTTGAATCTGGTGACCGTGTGCCCAGCTCTTGTCACTGGGCCTGGATTTCAACACCTCAACCCAACTGGATCCATCGCCTACCTCAAAGGTGAGAGGCCTTCCCCACTGCCAATCTTTGACGCAGCAGCAGCGGTAGATTTGCCTCGAACAGTCCTCAAACCCTTCTTCGTTTTCGACAGGAGCTCAATACATGTTTGCAGAAGGGCTGCTTGCCACGGTCGACGTGGAACAATTAGCCGATGCTCACGTATCGATCTACGAGGCAATGAACAGGAATGCTTGTGGGCGGTACATTTGCTACGATCATGTCATCCAAACCGGCGAAGAGGCAGCTGAATTGGAGCGGCAGCTGCGTCTTCCTAACAGAGTACGTGGAGCGACTCGCGAAGTCGATCCGACCTCGTTCGAGCTCTCCAACCGGAAGCTTCTCGAGCTAATGAATTCGAGGAGGAGGTGCACGTATGATGTCTACTCCTACTTTCCATGAGCACGCAGAGCTGCATATTTTGGTGCTGGCTGCTTGCTGCAAACCCGAGCCACGTTGAAGTATGGATATGCCCTGAGAACAGAGCCGATGAAGATGAGGAAAACAGATCTCTGTACATAAAATAGTTTATATAAGAAGCCATGGAAGAGTTGGCACAGCTTGAAGAACAAGATTTGCATGTGGAACAGCTCTTCAGGTGATCGACAACTGTGCATGCGTACAGGGCACCATTTCATGGAGTTGGTGATGCTTCTACTGGTGTAAAAGAAAACAAAATTTTCTTCTTGATCAGCAAGTTTTGGATATTAAATCATAATATTCCTTTCAAGCATTGCAAGTTTGTGACGATGGCCATGCTAGAAAGCAAGCATCTCTCCTTTCATCTCCATCACGCCCCTGTGATCCTAAAGAAAACACCTTTAAGCAATCTACCTTTCACCTCACTCAAAGCACATTGATCAAGAACACACCCCAAAAGGAAACCTGCTGCCTCATTCTGAATGTCGAAGAGGCAAGAGAGAGGAGAGAAGAATGTCGTCGCTCCCACAACCTATGGTTGTATACCCACAGTCCATGAAAGCCCAGCAGGTTCATGACTCCGAAGGCTCATATACGCCGGTCTACATCACGTTGGCTGTGATAGCAGTTCTGACGCTAGCAGCTTGCTACGCCGGACAAGTCCTCGCCTGCCGCTACCTGCGCCCGAGGCCTCGAAGAGACAAGGGAGCAGTAGAAGACGGGATCCAAATGGGTGTTCCTGCCGTCAATTTGGATGCCTCTGGAGGTGGAGGACGGAAGGCCAAGCATTTGGGAAGCAATCAGGAGCACACTGGAAGCAAAGGCGACGTCGGCAATCCTAACATAAGTCATGCTCCTGCTGTTGCACAGGAAGTTTAATTGCTACGAGCCTCGTCATCTCTTTCATTCAGACTTATCTCCTTTTGGTCTTACTTCTCTTCCATGATCATAAAAGATTTGAATACTCATGGCCTCTGTTTATTGTTATGAATTTGTAAGATTTGGAGTGAATTAATGATCATATTCTCATTCCTGAATGCTATATCGAAACATATAAACTCTTTTCAGTAATCGTAATGATGGTGGCTGGAAAATCTAGATATGTACTCTGAGGAAATGGTGCCAAGGGGCCGCACGAATCACAGCGACCGCACGCGTATGTGCACCGGTATTGCTCGGCGATGGCGGTCATCAACAGACATCACGGTCGGACAAGATGCGGTTGCCCGCTGGCTTTCCATTCTGCAAGCAGACGATGGGAGGAATGGTTGGAGTGTAGAGTTCCCCGAAGGTCTGCCAGCAGAAAGGCTGGTACATGTGATACTGCTCTTGCAGTGGCTTCAGCTCCACCCCGGTCAGGCTGATGTCCGAGCACGGAGAGGTGTCGCTGCAAGCGAAGTGCACCGGCTTCACCGTGTAGGTTCCCTTGATGTTCTCGTACGCGATGCCTGAGAGCGCCACGGCTGATGTCTGGTTCTTGCAGGAGCTTTTGTCACAGTAGAATTGGTCGATGACGATGGGAGTTTGGACCTCTGTTACTCTTATGTTGGAGAACCTTATGCTCTGTGCAGACCCTGACCCACCCTGTGACGATGCATGGTGACAACCATTAGATACAGCAAAATGTTCGCAGAGGAGTCTTAGGGTGATCGAGCCGGCACCTGCCAGGTCTTGATTCTGACGCCGGTCGTGGTGTTGTGCATGTTGACATCCCTGACCGTGATGTTGGAAACGCATGCCTTGGTGTTGTCTCTGCCGAGGCCTCCGATGCTGATTCCATGGCCGGGGCCGCAGTCTACACTGTGTATGTTGACGTTTGAGCATCCCGTTTGGATGGAAACACAGTCGTCACCTATGTTGAAGCAGAGGCAGCGTCTCTTTCGTCAGCCACATGATCGGAAGTCTACACTAACGAGTTCCGAACAGGGGAGGGGAAGCTTACCACAGCTCATGTTGGTATGGTGAATCATAACATCCCTCGAATTCTGGAGATGAATTCCATCTGTGTTGGGGCTGCTGCCGGGTGAAGCGATGGTCACGTTGAAGACCTGCACGGCCTCGCAGTTGTCGAACTTGAGGTGGCACTGTGGGCTGTTTTGGATTGTGATGCCGGTCACCGTCACATTGTAACTCCCATAGAACCTCAATGCCTGCAGAACGCAATCAAAGGAGGAGAAGAAGAAGAAGAAAAAGACAACGTGTCACTCATGCTGTCTTCGACATTGTTTCATTCACAGGGAGAAGATGCAAGCCAAGACATCTTACAGTCGGTTTCATCTGTGGCGTCCTCAGACTCAGCTCATCATTTATCTACATGGGAAGGAAGCAGATAAGAATGCTTGGAATTGGGAATCGAACTGGGTAACGGGAGTAGATGGTGAGGAGGCTTACTGAATCAACATCAGAGTTGGTGTTTGTCCACCAGACGCTGCCTCGCCCTTCTATCGTTCCGCTGCCTCGAATTGTTATTCCTCGCAGCTTTGTGAATTCGATCCACCACAGCAGCCCAACGCTCCAGTCCTTGGCATCAGTCGGAGCAATGACCATCCCATCCAGCTGCAACAGAGACAACATGATTCCTCAGCAGGGAACTCACTACAATTCTTGGCGTGTTTGTGTTCTACCACATAATCGATCACGGTCGATCCCATCTGTCTCCATGTTTGAGTCGAGAGATTACCTGAAACACAATGTTGGGCTGGCAGTAAGGTCCCGAGAACGAGATAGGGCCGACAAGGAACTCGAACTCTGCTGGAACAAAGACAGTTGATCCTTCCACCTTACAAGCAGCAGCCCACGCATCCTCAAACGCCTGCATCAGTTCAAGAAGCCAGATCTGTGAGCATCAACCTTCTCCACCATGCCCTCTGTTCGCAGAATCCACCTTAGAATGCACATTCCAGGTGGCTAGCTAGGTGGATTCAGATGCATTAGGAACATGAACTGATGAAATCAGCAGAAGATTCATGGTAACTTAGTTATGGCCATCACTTGTAGATCTAATTGGACTGACTGCACAATGCAGACATAACTGACAGTTTCAGCTAAATATGGAGGAGAAGGTAACAATGGTCACCTTAGTGTCGTCCGTGACGCCATCTCCCTTGGCACCGAAATCCAGCACATCGAACATGGCCGGCTTTGAGGCGTTCGGAGACCCTGTTACCGGGCACGGGCTCTGGTTCGAACTCGGCGGTGGACTCGTGTGGCCGCCGCTTCCTCCGCCACCACCATGGTTGTGACCACCACCACTTTTCCCTCTTGTTTTCTTCCTGGCCAAGGAGGAAGAGGGAGACTTACGCCTCCAATGCTTGCCTTTCCTTCCTTCGCAGCCATCCAAGCTTGAGCACACCAAAAGGACAAGCAGGAGGAGCAGCCCGAAGCACTTCAACCTGTATACGCTCATTTTTACGTTTGTGTCTGCGTCGTGTCCAGAAGTGCGAGGAAGGGGGAAAAGGAAGAGAGTGGAGTGAGCGGTGAGAGGAGGGAGGGAAGGGTGGGTTTAAATAGCCACAAGCCTTCTCTTCCCTCTCTCTCTCTCTCACTATATTTCTTTCTGGCTTCCTTCCCCTCTTACATGGAAACCAAGAAGATGATGCTTGATTAAGGTTTCAAGGAGTGGCATTAGAGGTGGATTTCCATGGCATATGCTCTGCCGATGCAACAGGGGTGCGGTGGAGTCGATCGTGTGGCATTTTGCTGTGTGCATGGGTTTTGTATTTGGCACGTAAGCTGTGGTTACCGGACGCAAAAGCCAGAGGAGACACGTGAGTGGGTCTACAAGGCAGTGAACGTAGCAGCTCCCCTCGATCACATGCAACCGGTCACGGGTGAGAGGATACTGCTTTGTCCACTGCCGAAGGCAACTGACAGATAGAGAGAAGGAAGACAACAAAAGCAGCAGGGCCCCCTGCCATTATACCACCTATCATTCCTCGCCACTCCACTTCTTCTTCCCAACCAAGAAAGAAGGAAGTTAATTCAAGTTGCTTAAGAGATCTATTGCTGAAAGGAAGAGATGATTAATGGGGGCTACAGATCATTAGATGGAAAGACTGAAGCAATAGCCTGTTTTGAGCCTGAGAATTGGAGTCTATTATGTATGCTAAGTGGAATCACCATACAAAGCGGCAAAAGATCATGCAAGAAATGTGCCATGACATATAGAATATATTCCTCTCTTTCTTCGTTCCCGTGGTCCTTTTACTGCTTACAGTCCATAAAGGATTTTGGAATCACATGAAACCATCTCAGAGGAAATGAAGTGCTCTCTGTTGATTCGTTATCGATCTTTTGACAGCTTAGGAAATGAACACTGCTATGGACAAAGCGAAACAAAACAGAGCCTGTTCTTCTCACATGAACAAACCTTTTCTTGTGAATTGAAGCTAAGTCAGATGCCAAACAAATGACTGAAATCCAATTAACAATCCTTCAATTCCGTGGGATGGGATCTGCAGCAACATCGTCTCCAGTGGGAGAGGACAAACTTAAGAGTGTGGTGCTTTTTCGAACTCTCAAATGATAGAAATGGTTGAACTGCAGATTTCAACTTAAACCTTACGAATATTTCAGTATAACACAATGTACCATTTCATCCGATTATAATCCTTCAAGTACGATTTCCATTCTTCTAGTATTGCAGCCACAGGTAGAGAGAAAATAGAAGTTGGGTCTCGGGGTGTAGTCATCATTCAACTGCTCTCACATGAAGGCTCGGTGTATCAGAAAGATTATTCCTTCTTTTTACTGAGTAGTGATTGACAAAGACAGCCAAAAAGCTGCCTGAAATCTCCCTTGGCAAACCATTCAGATGAATCTACAGGATCATTTTGGATTTTGTTGTCATGATATAGCTCGATTATTTGTGATGCTTGCATGTCTTTTAGAATTCTGTTTATCAAGTTCATCAGATGTTTCGGACTTTTATTATGGCACAGCAAGGAAAATATATCTAAATTCATCTGAATTTTAGAAAACCTCTGACCACAACAATGAATGGTGGCAATGATTTGTTCCAAAGGACAAACCGCAGATTAATCTCCATTAGGATTGTCGTTCTCATGGGAATTAATGTGAAGTAGGAAGAAGCCAATCTGTAGTTTGTCTCGCATGCTATGTGCCATGATCCTCTTTCAATCCTCTGCCAACTTTGTCCCTGCTACTTCTTCCTTCCACGACACCTGCAAGCATTCATCTCTCTTTCTTTGTGCTTCCTAACAAATCATGATCTGCAGTAACCTCTTCCACTGCACTGCTTAAAAATTCTTGCATCATGATGTGTGCATTTATAGTTTATTAGCATGCATCAACCTTGGTTAGTTCCTTTTCTGCCCTCTGTTCTTCCACTAGTCATTTCAAGTATGTCCAGACACTAATCACAGTATCATCATAAACGCATAGGACACGGAGCTTTTGGGGAGGAGTGCTCCAGTGTTGTGTGTGGAGCTCGTGAGCTCTTTGAGTCTCGTGAACCTCCAAGCATTATAGAAAAGGGAGGTGTTTGTTATTGTTGCAGCTCACCCTCATGTCTCTCCTTTCATGGCTCTCTTGTCTTCTTCGTTCAGCTCACTAGGTGTCTCGAGAGCCACAACCTAGGTGAGAATACAACCAGTAAAAATCGGTTCCATCTTGGTGCGGGTGATGACGACAGTAGGAAAGTAAAGTTCTTGCTAATGAAGCTCCAAAAGGAACTGTTTCAGCTACATGCATTTTTCTCGTTCTTTCTGTGCTCATGTTTCTTACCAACCTAAGTTGTGCTTCTATACATACTAATGAAAGAGTAGCAGAAGCTCATAATACTGTTCATGATGCCATTGGAAGAGTGGTTTCTCTTTGTTGTTGGTTGGACTCTGAATCCTGAAGACATGCTGAAGCTTCAGACTTTAATATAGGGGAACTGTACACCATGATCCAAAGTTGCATGAGCAAGCAAGGATGATTCATGGTCCCCCTCATTCTGCACAGTAAAAACCTGCTTGGTTTACATGCCACTTGTCACCTGATGTGGATGACAACAAAAGGCATTCAACAATAATTCACTTTCTCAGCAAGAACAGTAGACAATTAAGAAAAGAGAAAGGGGTTCGAGCATCATAGAACAGCAACAAGAAGCAGGAGTCACGGATCATTCTAGCACTCTCCAGGAACAGTGCCCAAAACATTTTTGACCTCAGAAAGCCTGGTGTAGCTTTGTGTACTTTGGGGTTCCTACTGCTTTGTAGTTCTGCATGTGACACTCTTTGAGGGACTCAATTTCCAGTGCTTTTCCTCTCGTTTTATCATGGATTTTTTGGACGTGAATCGGCTGGCCTTCCCTACCTAGCAATCACGGGCTGCCAGATGCGCAAGCAAGAACACCAAGGACACACTGCTTGGTGCCTCTGATGGAGTCTCCTTCATGCCCTCACCCTGCTGCCACTTGCGTTGCATGATGTGGCTTCCTCCGGTACACTGCATCCACGTGAGCTTGCGGCTTGATCTCGGCATCTACCTGTATCTGTCGGCTTCATACACTCGCGTGCAGATTGGTTGCATCTACCAGGATTAGATGATGGAAGAGTGCAAGTTTTCACACACACTGTGCGAGGAGAACTCATCAGAGAAAGATCAATGAAAGAGAGGGGAAGCTGATCTATTATCAGTCTCAATCCTGCGTGCCATGACTGTTCATCAGGCCACCAACCCTCCTCCTCCTTGAGACCCGTGCATTGGCTTCTGCTATCCTCTTATTAGGTTAATCTACAGGTGATGCGCAAGACCAGGCCAGAGGATGCATGGGGCCATATCAAGGACTCGTCCTTCCATCACATGCAGTAGAAGAATGGCTGCTTCTGCTATTTCTATGGGCGCTGCCTGACAGCACGATTCCTTTCTGAATGCAGCATCATGGTTGGGAAATAATCCCACTGTACTGTCCAAGGCAAGAGAATGATCCATGTCTTTATCTGCAATGGCAGTTCTTCATCTGATCTAGTTCAGAAAATTGAGAGAATATATATTGAATCAAATGTAAGAATTGATGCCTTAGTTCAGCCAACAGTTTTCCGGTGATTGAAGTGCTGCTCTCCATGATTGTCGACGGCCAAGCCATCGGCTACGCTGTCTGATGTTAAACCTGCATGCTAATAAGAATCAAACCATAGCAACTGTTAGGAATCGAGTCGCAGCCAAAATCTTCGGCAGATTTGCAGGGGGGTGAGACAACACTGGTCACACAATGCATCTATGATTCTAATCTATCAACTCAGTCGGAAAGAGACAAGTATTATTAGCAAGAAGGCACACAATGTCACTTCAGCATTGTTGGCCACACTCTTTTGTCTTAGCTAACCACCATGCAAACCAATAGGTTGGTTATTATAGAGAGAGAGAGAGAGAGAGAGAGAGAGAGAGAGAGAAGTTTAATAGGGCCCCCTTCCCACTCTTATATATCACAAGTGAGCAGAAGAAATCATATAGAACACAATGCGTGTAAGATACAAAGTGGCAGCTCGCTTCTGCAATCTTCTGAGCCTTTGAGAATGGAGTCCTTTGGTGAGTTGTCCACCTCTAGCTTACACATTGGCTTGTTCTATAGTTTCATTTTTCGTTCACAGAGCTGGCCCAACATGGAGCTCAAGGGAGAAGTCTGTGTTGTTTTCATCAAATGGTTGGAAGAATCCTCTTTTTGGTCACTGAAGTAGCTTACTCCAACTTGGAGTATTTCATATTATATTGCAGTGGAGGTGGCATTGTGCTCAAGAGCTAATAGAGGCACATCTCAAAGCATGAAATTTTTGGTGTTGATGCAGTCACTCTAATCTTCAACAAGTACACCAGTGATTTCCCTGTCGAACACCTGTTCAATGGTTGGCTGGGCAGCCTGGTAGAGAGATATGGTGGTCTTCTCCTGCACCACAATGTGAGTGTTACTGCTTTGAGAGAAGTCTCTTCCATGAGTTTGAGAATGAGCAAAATATGATATCTTGCTTTCAGCGTAATGGAGAAAGGGAAGATGAGCTGCTATGGCATCAACACAGTCTTCGGGACTCCTTTATGGAACAGAGGTTTGGCAAGAGATCTCTTCTATAAGTTGGAAGATGAGCATGTAAGCAACCTTCCTTTGAACACAATGGAGAAAGAAGGTTCACTGTCGGCTATTAAAGGAGAAGAAAGATGCAGTTGGTGATTCCTTCGAAACTCACAGATTGTGAAAGATGCAGTCTTTCTGCAAAGACATCAGAATGATGCTACATTTCAGTGTAATTGAGCCAAAATATGGTATACATCTTTAAGCTATATGGCCTGTCTAATGGCTGCACTGAAGGCATGCATTTGGATCAACAGGGAATGCATGGCCGTATCAGAGGAATCAATGATTTGTTGATGCAATCTAGCAATTGCTCTACCAATGGAAATCAGCTCATTAGGTCAATGAGCTGACCAAAAGGAAGTCCTAATCATTGACTCTGTGTCTTGGGGCTGCCTCATGATGTTGATCCTGCAGTACATGTATTTCTCAGACCGAGTCACAACCCAGTCCGAGTTTGACCCGGCCCTAAACGTATTTGCAACATGCTGCTGCTAATGATTGCAAGAAAAATGTCGATATACTTTGCGTTAATCTTATCTATTCTCATATATTTGGATGGTAATGATCCTTCGTAATCAATCCGTGTATACCATCATGAAGCATTACGTCGAACACTCAGGTCAACCACGTCGATCAAACGGCATACTGAACCCGAGGCACCACGAGGAAGCAGAGACGACTCCTGGGAGCATCTGCGTGCAACGAGCTCTGGTCATTGCTCCGACCTTGCGGGACACTACTTCTTCCGCCTGCTAGCTGACGGAGCAAGTTCGTTTTCTGTGAACGAGGAACAAGGGACACACTGTGCGCGTTGCCCGGTTACCAAATCCTTGGTCTTTCTCCCATGGAGCAATGTCGTGAGCAACAGCAGTATCTGTTATGCTTCATTCACTCGGCATTTGCTCATCATCACGAAGCCGAGTCATGCATGCCACCAGATCTGATGCTTGTATTGCTACTGTCTATATAAGGATTGTATCTCCAGTTTCTCTTGGCAGCGAGGCGTTCGGTTAGGTTCCTGCTAGATTCATGGCGCAGGCTCGATCACCGGCAGGGCAGAGTGGGCAGCTGCCGGACTTGTCGCACAGCGTGAAGCTCGAGTACGTGAGGTTGGGCTGCCGCTACCTGATCAACCACATCCTGACCTTGTTGTTGATCTCCCTCGTGGCCGCGGTGGCCATCGAGGCCCTGAGTACTCAGTGGCTCGACCTGGAGTACGACCTGGTGAGCGTCCTCGTCGTCTTCGTCGTCGTCGTCTTGGGATCCACTGTCTACCTCATGACCCGGCCGCGCCCGGTCTACCTCGTCGACTACGCGTGCCACGTTCCCCCACACGAGCTCCAGATCCCGTTACAACTGGTGAAGGAGCGGTGCGGCAAATTCGGCAAGTTCGACGAGCCGACCGTCGAGTTCCAGTTAAAGGTCCTCGAGCGCTCCGGGCTCGGCGAGGAGACGTACGCCCCCAAGGCCATGCATAGCGTCCCGCCCCGCCCTTCCATGGCCTTAGCCCGAGAGGAGACCGAGCAGGTCATGTTCGGCGCCCTCGACGCCCTCTTCGAGAACACCGCCGTGAACCCCAAGGACGTGGGGGTCCTTGTCGTGAACTGCAGCCTGTTTAACCCCGTCCCTTCCCTCTCCGCCATGATCGTCAACCGATACAAGCTCCGGAGCACCGTCAGGAGCTTCAACCTGGGCGGCATGGGGTGCGGCGCCGGCGTTATAGCCGTCAGCCTCGCCGGCGACCTCCTGCAGGTGCACCACGCCACCTACGCCGTCGTGGTCAGCACGGAGAACATCACCCAGAACTGGTACGCCGGCAGCCGCAAGTCGATGCTCATCGCCAACTGCTTGTTCCGCGTCGGCGGCGCCGCCGTGCTGCTCTCCAACCGCTTGGCCGACCGCCGGCGCGCCAAGTACAGGCTCGTCCACGTCGTCCGCACCCACCGGGGCGCCGACGACAAGGCCTACCGCTGCGTCTACCAGGAGCAGGACGACGACGGCAACGTGGGTGTGTCCCTGTCGAGGGACCTCACGGCCATAGCGGGCGGCGCCCTCAAGGCCAACATCACCACCCTCGGCCCCCTCGTGCTCCCCGTCAGCGAGCAGCTCCTCTTCCTCGCCAAGCTCGTGGCCAAGAAGCTGTGGAGCGACAAGACGAAGCCGCACATCCCGGACTTCAAGCGCGCCTTCGACCACTTCTGCGTCCACGCAGGGGGCCGGGCGGTGATCGACGAGCTCGAGAAGAACCTGGAGCTGCGGCCCGTCGACGTGGAGGCGTCCCGGATGACGCTGCACCGGTTCGGGAACACGTCGTCGAGCTCCATCTGGTACGAGCTGGCCTACATCGAGGCCAAGGGGAGGATGCGCAAGGGCCACCGGGTGTGGCAGATCGCCTTCGGGAGCGGCTTCAAGTGCAACAGCGCCGTGTGGCAGGCGCTCCGCAACGTGCAGCCCTCGCCCCATGGGCCATGGGAGGACTGCATCCACAGATACCCCGTCCAAACATCCCACCGGATTGCTTCACCACGGCAAGACGCACAGCCACAGCCACAGCAGCATTGACTCTGCTGTGACCTGGCATTTAGCCCTGACAACAATAACAAGCAAGAGACCGAACACAGACTTGTTTAGTGATCCTCTCTCAACACGATCTCATCAGAAGACACTTTTCTTGAGTGGCTACAAAACAATGCAACCGGAAATGTTCATGTTTTGGACCAAAATGGGAGAATAAGATATCGATCTGAATCAAGCAAATCACCTGTGTGTCGGAAGAGAAATAATGACAGGACAAAAGACTAACAACAAAAGCAGAGGAGGTGAAGCTGTCAACCAAATGCATTCTCCTTTACCAACAAAGACACGCTAGGTTTATTCGATTCTAAAGCCTTATCTACAGCCTCTTTACTTGATAACAAAGAAGGATATGACTGTTTGGATGAATCAAAAGAACTTAAAAGAGAAATCATTTTAACATGTAACTCGGAATACATTTGGGAAAACAGAGAAAGCATTCCCAGAACAAATGGTGACATTGAAGAACCAATACATTCTTTTAATACAACTATTCAAAAGACAAAGAAACCATGCAAGTAAACTTTTTCCTGATGTTCTCTTCATTCCATTATTTCCTCGGACAAATTTTTTCCACACACTGCCAGTAAAACTAGATTTTGCAACCTGGAAACCATGCACAAATTATACAAATGTACCGATACCTTCTCGTTCCACACAATGCACACTACAGAGCACCAAAGAATGTTAGCAGCCCCACCTCATGAATTTCCTTGCACTCGTAAGTTCTAAAGGCACCAAGAAATGATCAAGCTCGGACCTTCATTATTCAATTACAAGTTTATCAACCCATGTTGCAGTTTATTTGTCTCCTCACATTGAATTGAAAATTTTGAATTCTGGAACTTTGAAGTTACAATGCAAACAGAGTTCCGTTACTGTTGAACTGAACTGTGATCTCCCTGAACAACAAATAGCTTATAAAATTTGTAACATCACAGACAAAATTTTTTCTGACAAGTGCCTCGATAACAAATTTCTTGAAGTTTGGATGTCTCGAAGCAGATTTTACCCACAGCTGAACATGGTGGAGATTTTCCCAAGCAACGTGTCTCCGTCATAGCACGCTGCTTAAGATATATGTTAAGAGAACTCACCGGAAAGACCACTGGATTTCCTCGAGAGTTCTCCCTTTGGTCTCGGGCACCCATATTATGACAAACAGTACTGTCAAAGCACTCACGACGGTGTAGATGGTAAAGGTACCTGGTGATTTTAAGAATTATATTAGATGCAACCAGGATAGGTGCATATGTAAGATATACCAGAAGCATGTATTGTTGTTTTGATTAAAAACATTTCAACCTCCGGTGCTCCAATTCAAAAGCAAGTTTGCAGTCATTGTTATCACAAACGATGTCAACCAGTTGGCCAGTGTTGCTACGCTACCAGCAAGGCTCTTAATATTAACAGGCAGTATCTGCAGCAGAACATACAACGGTAAGCTGCAAGAAGACCCATGGAACAAAAAAGTTTGGAGTTTAAACATTAAAAGGAATATGTCAGTTAAAGAGGTTTGTAAGAGCTAAGAAATGCATCTAATGTTTTTAAGGTACCAAAGACTACATGTAAATAAAATTCAAATGAAAAGTTGATTTACTAAAAGTTTAAAATTCATTAACTCAACTATTTGAACCTACTCTTGAATCTGCACTATATTTTTCTAATCCATATTGCTTCGTGCAGGCTCAGTCAGATTCTCATGTTGGCCATATGGGGAACAAGAGGCTTCTGTTTCTAGGTTTTACGAGGACAATAGTGCTTCTCCTTCGACGTACCCCTTGACCTGAGTCTTCTCTTCTTCAACATCCATATCTCGGCTAACAACCTCCTCTTGATATATCTGTTTTAACCTATGAATTAGTTTTCATCATGAGTTTCCTAATGTTGACTTCTCTTCTAATGTGATATATGTCTAGTTTTATTGGCACTTGACTCAAACGTGAACAGATCCGACAGCATACTAAGTTCCCAAGTTGGCGATTCTTGTAATCCTTGTGAAGCCATAATATGTTCACTTTAATGATTGATGAATCATTTCTAGTGACATGAATCAACATTTTTCTTAAATCACTTTCATTTAAAACCTCTAACAAGAACACTATGATATCTACTCGTTAAAAGCATATGAACCCTACATATTTTGCAGAACGACGAAAAGAGAACAAAAATATAAGCTTACATACCTCAGACATGATAATCCATGGAATTGCTCCCACCCCAAGGGAGAAGGCAATGACATAAGCCTAAAGAAACATACATAACTTAGTGATTTAGAAAATGTTACTCCTAAAGAAAATTGCAATTCATAGTTGACATATACATACCACGAGACCAACCAAAGACAGGATGCTCAGTACATAATAAGAATGAGATTCTTCAGAGAAGGCACCCTGTCTCCAATAAATTACAGAAACATTACAAATCATAGTGTTTTGATAAGCAACTACAAAGAAACTCCTGATGATATTAAAAGAATGATGTTGAATTAAAAGATAGTAATTGCCAGTACTATTAATAATAACGTCAACTAAAAGATAGTAATCTTGACACAAAGCAATCCAGAAAACAGATAACTGCCAGACTGACCTCCAGAAAAAATGCAACTGAAACTAGAAGAAGACTTAAAGTCATTCCTATAGTGGAGATCTGCGACCAAAAGAAATTCAAATTTATTGCTAATTATTATGAGAAACCAGCATAAAAGAGGAAAAAAAACTTGCTAAAGCTCACAATAAGCAGAATTCTTCGGCCAGCTCTATCCAGTAACCAGGTGGTAACTCCAGTAGCAACAACCTGAATGATATTTGATGTATTTTAGTATAAAGAAAAAATGAAACAAGTTAGAAAGATTCAAATAACATCCCAAATCGAGATTCAAGATGGGTACCTGAATAGCTCCAAGACCACATGTCGCCAGATTACCATTCGTAAGCCCTGTTTAGGATAGAAAAATAAAATTTCAAGTAGAACAACATTGAAATATTTAAAAGCTATATGGTATACCATTTGGTGCATGTGTATATAAAAAATATTAACATGTATTAATTTACATGCATAAATAAGCATACATATATATTTGAAAGCCATGCAGAATAGATCTGACATCTTGTGCGCCCACATTTTGAATAGATTAAGAGGTCTAATCAGAACTTTGTAATATGGGAATAGAAGATTCTACTATTACAGAAAAAGTATGTTTATTCAACAATATGAAAAATTAAGCATGGATGAAGATCTATTGTCATGATTCGAGCCTGATGGCTCTAGTATCATTCTGTCACGGACAAAGTTCTAAACAGGATGTTTGATGTAATACTTATGTATGTCCGTGTCTTTCTGTTTGTTCATGTTTTGCACAGCATATAGAGGAACGGTCGAAGGTTTAACAATCTCATTTTAGTTGGGTTTGGTGGCATTTTTAGGCTTATAAATAAAGGTTGTGTCATGTGGACACTTGCGAGAGTTATTCGGTCTGTAATGGACCATTTTGACCCTTTGTTGTGCAAAAGTCTGTTTGTTGTTTGCTTGTGGATCCTGAGTGAGGTGCTTTCTCTAAAGTGTTTTCTCTTTTGTAGGTCGACCATAGGAGGTTTTGGGGAGGTTAACCTTTACGGACGGTTAAATCCGTGACAATTCGTCACATGGCCAAAACCACTAACCACAATGCTTCAACTAAAGTTGACAAAACTATACCCATCGGACCCTTATAAGTCAATCTTAGTTTTGTCCACTTCCGATGTGGGATTAATCGGGATATTACATCCATGATTATAAGAGATCAACAACAAAAATAGCATGATGGGAGGAGAATGCAAATTCCAACATAGCAATAAGGAAACCATTTCAATTTATCATTTTTTGAGTCATTTACCGGCAGCTTTGAAAATGTTGCTGGCATAAAATAGAATGCCGTTGATTCCACTTAGCTGTTGCAGCACAAGGAGACCAATGCCTATCTGCGGGTGTAGACAGATGCCAGTTGAGAATAATGTGATTGTTTTTCTGAACATAAGACAAATCAAGATTTTTGTACTACTTCACCATAAGAGGAAGTTTATATCTTTTTTGTTTCAGTTGTGAAAATCGGATTGCTGTCCTTCTGGTTGATGATGCCACTGATCTCTGCAAAAAGCAATTAAACATAATACTACAGAGACCAACACTCACATTTACCAGATCTTTTACACTGCAAAAGATAGGAGATATCCAGCTCCATACCTTAATTTCATTAACTTCCACAGTAATGTCAGCATCAAATCCTCTCAGAACTTGTAGAGAAGCTTCAAAATCTTCCATCATGCCCATTTTTGCCTGCATAGATAGGAACAAAAAGAAATCTTAAAAATACAAATATGGCTTCTTGTTGGATTGGCACATCACCTTAGGATCCTTACCAGCCACCTCGGAGATTCTGGGATGAAGAAGAGAGCAGGTATGAGAATTGTGCATGGCAAGATACCTAATAACGTGGCATGTTAAAGTCATTTGATCCAAAAAGTCATGCCAGATAAAACCCAAAGAATATGCAGTTCAATGATACGAACAGAAAAAAAAAAAAAGAAAATTTGAAGTGGATGGCTAACAAATTTAAATGTGCAGAACAGAAAATTATAAAGATTAGTAGTCTTGTAGATCAATTTCTACATTTGTTGAGTTCTAAACAAGCAAGCATAAGAGGAAAGAATACAAAACAATACCAAGATTTTTAGGCCAAGCAACCTAAAAATGTTACCTATTACTGCGAGCAGTCTCCAATGAACAAACATACCCAACAGATAAGCGAGCAAAATGCCAATAGTCACAGAGAGCTACACAATGAGGAGGCCAGAATCAGACATTAATGCCATGGAAAACCAACTGATTCCAAGAGTGTTAACTGTCAACAGGAAGAATGAGAGACAACAAAATGAACTTGCCTGATTCACAGAGCCAAGTGCGCCTCTCAAGTTCTGAGGTGATATCTCTGCTATATAGACAGGCACCTGATGAAACGTTAATAAACCAAGAGTCAAGCCACATAAATTTCCCGTAGATTGCATCAAATTCTTGGGGGAGCAGGGCAACAAACTGTGTAGGAGATCACACCAACGCCGAATCCTTCCAACAACCGACCCATATACAAGAACGACGAGTCCTTCAAGAGTACATGACAAGAGCCTGAATTTAGGGAGGCAAACAACAAGAAAATTCTCGAGGAAAAATAAAAAATTGACGATGGCCCCCCAGAAGAACTCACTTTCGCAAAGGAAATCGCCAGCCAGCCGATGATGTTAGGAATTGAAGCGATCATCAGCGACTAGGGAAGCCAAGCATGGCGATCAAAAACTCATCAAGATCGAATTATTATGCCATCAGCAAAAAAGGGAACCGCAAAAAGGTCAGATCTGTCTCACCCCTTTGCGACCGATGTATTCCGCGATCTGGCCGCTGGCGATGGCGCCCACCATGGCTCCGACGTTGGACAGAGAGCCGAAGATCGAGAACTAGCACCACCGACCCACATGGTCATCACGCCAAGTGATCAAGAAATCTTCGCACCAATAAAGAACAAGTAGGAAGAGGGAGGGAATTATGGACGATGCGTGGGGGGTTACTGACCTCGGAGAGGGTGAGGCCGAGGTCGGCGATGATGTCATCCTGGGTGGGGGAGGAGTAGCCGCCGGTGAAGCCGAACTGGATGGGGCCGAGGGCGACGATGAGGGTGCAGAGGACGACGGAGATGGAGGAGTCGCGGATGACGGAGGCGGAGGATGCCATGAGGCTGGATTGGCGCGACCCCATCCCCATCCGGTACCAGCTCCCCGTGTGGAGGAACGGCTTCCTGAGGTCGCCTCGCCCGTCCTCGCTCCCACTCTCCTCTCCTCTAAAGCTCATCTTGCGTGCCTCCTCTTCTTCCCCACTCTCTCTGTTTCCTATGAAAGCCTGACAACACAGGAAGATAACGAGCTCGAGAAGTATGCGTGCGAGAGAGAGGGAGAGAAGAGAGGAGGGACGGTTGGAGACAGAGACGCTGCGTTGGCTTTGACGGAGAAGACAAAGCCCAAAAAAATGGCAGAAGAAGAGCCTCAATGACAAGGCAGACAACCATTACAGCACAGATGCGACAGGATGTAGACGTGCGGTCGTTGTCCCTATTTTAATTTTAATTTTAATAAATAATATCATTATATTTATTAATTAAAATAAATTATTTTTTTACGAGATAAGTGACGAAATTTCAACATAAGATTAACAATTATATAAACTGTTAAAATCTTCACAATTATTATTTTTTAATTATATATATATATATAAAGATCTTACGATAAATGAAACACATTTGGAAAGGGCATTTGGACGCGAGTTGGGACACGAGGCCAATGCTTCATCACAAGATCGGATCGTAGTTATCCACAATTAATTTAGAGAGACTGATCTGAAACATTGCCATGTCGATCATCATCCTAATCCTAAATTATTGTCCATGACGTGTCCATGTGTTATATTTCCAATCTTTATCCCAAAATAGAACACGACGGAGCAATCATTTGACTACTAATAATATATTCATCGATCACTTTCTTCACTATTTGGACGGCGATGATGCGACGTTATTACATGGTAGGTAACGTGTGCCAAAATATGTCCTAAAATGCAGCATGCTAAACGTGTGATTCCCAAGCAGCTGTGTATTCGAATGATTTCTATCCAACTCAACATTACATCCCCCGTGACAAGAAGAACAAAAAATATAACATATGGAACGTCAACTTCTCTCTCGGTTACTGCTTGCTGTGAAGCCAACTACTCCTGCTGCTGCTTCTTATAGTTCTCTGGCCATCTCCCGCATTTTGGCTCCCACTTCGCCTGAGACCTGCGAGGCTCTCTCCTTGGCTGTCTCGTACTTCTCTCGCGCGCCGCCGGCCATGGTGTCCTTGGCAGTCGCGTAGGACTCCGCCACCTTTTGCTTCGCTCCCTCGTATGCTCTTTTGGCATCATCGGCGGCGGTCGCCTGATCTCCGGCCATGTCCGCTATGTTGTCCTTCGCCTCCCCAGCCTTGTTCTTCACGGCCTCTTTTGCTTGTCTGGCCTCGTGGGAAGTATGCTCTGCAGCTTCTGTGCAAGGGGTCCAGTGTTTAGAATGTGCACACTTGCCCTGTCCTTGTGCTTAGCCCTCAAACTCTGTATTCTTTGTCATATAGATTCCGTGTCGTTGTAATTAGATTCGGCTAACATCAGTTTGACTGCCAGGACAGGCCACACTTACCTGAAGCAGCACCGTACATCGTGTCCTTGGCCTTCATGGCGATGTCTCCCGCCTTATCCTTCGTCTTCTCCGACGCTACCTTCGCGTTCTCCTGCATCGTCCCGAGCCCCCTGCACATAGTCAAGGACTATAACCTTTAGCGACTAACAGCAACAAAGACGACACAAACAAGCCGGCGGCGAGCCAAGAGATGGAAGAGAGGCGAACTCGGCGATCTTGCCGCCCGCCCAGTCAGCGCAGGACTCGGACGTCTGCCTGATGTCCTGCGCGGCCTTCGACGCCTTCACCTCGGCCTTCTCGGCAGCTATCTTCGCACTGTCCTTCGCGTTCTCCGCCGTGGAATTTCCGCCATAAGCGAACGCTGGACTCGGCGGCCATATGCAGAAGAAGAAGACTCCCATCAGTAGCAAACTAGCCACGGAACCGAACTCGATTCTTCGCCTTGCTGCCATGGTTGATGTGTGCACTGTGAATGGAGAAGGGGAGGAAGGGAACGCGGTTGGTACATGTAGGGTGGTGTCCAAGAACGTGGTGGACATGGAATGGAGCAAAGGCGACGTGGTGCCATTACGCCGCACGCGGTGTGAGGAGAAGGCGCGTTGCCCGCGACCGAGGAGGAGCGAGTTCAAACGCCGTTGGCCGTAATAAAAGCTTTAATATGTGTGACGAATCCTGATATCATGGAAGAGAACACGAAGTTTGAGGCAATTGTCGACCGGCGTTGGTAGTCGATGCAAAAGTGCATGCATGCTTGCTTTTGAGGGCTATAAATGCGAAATTGTCAATTAATTACTCGTGTGAACCATAACGATATGCTTCTGATATGGCAATGAAGATTCATTGAGATTGATTATTTCCAATATATATTTTTTTTTTCATTTTGTTGTAGTATTAATTTGAAGAAAAATGAGATAATTTTGTACACATTAAATTTCGACTCAAAAAGTACTTAATGATACTTGCCTTCAACAACATATTTATCACTAAGAAGTAGAAAGTTTTGGTCATTATACTGAAATTTTCCTTTTTTCCATGAGATCTTTGAGGCATTGATTTGAGATCTTCACTACCAACTTGCTAGAAACGTGTTACAGATATTACCAAACAGAATTATATTTAACTTCATGAAGAAATAGACACACCAGGAACAAGACTAGGCAGCAAGCTACAATATATCAATCCTATATACACATATGAGACTACAGTTGATGGGCCAATAAAGGAGAAGGGAAGGTACAATGGAAGATGAAGAAGAGAAGTGAGGATTATAAAAGATAAGTGATATGCTAATCATAATATATCTGTTTCTTGAAGTGGATCTGCAAGGAGAGAGTAACGCATTCCTTATTGCCTCCATGACTCAAATACTTCAACCTGCTGAAAACAAAAAAGAAAATGGATCAAATAACTGTGAGGTTGCAGATCTAGTGGAACCATGCAAACATAGCCAGAAGGTCAGAACAACAGACTTTTGTTTCAGAAGTATCATGCAAGCATATAAGTAGAAAAACATAACAAAAAGATAGTATCTGTAGCCTTGGAAGCCAGGCAGCAACACAACACGAAGGTACAAAGGTGACAACAGTGAAAGTGACCTTAAAAGGAACTTATACTGAAGCCTAGATCACCCACAATAAGATTGGAATCCAGCAGCTATCTTATGAGGGAGCAGTTTTGGTTTATTGCCTTTGCTTTAAGATTCAGAGATTTAACTCTAAGCAGAGCAGAGAAGAAGAAAAGATATATGGAGAGGAGCAGTGTACGGTAGGAAGAGCGATAAGAGTACCCCTGCGGCTAGTCGAGAGATACTTCCCATAGGGCATGTGACCGTTCTCGATGCGCCCGATGTCCTCGACAAGCAGCTCATAGTGGCGCTTCACTTCCTCAACAGTCTTCCCCCTCACAGCTCGAGCAACTTTGTTCCAGCGATCCGGTGTATCCTTGTCATACTTCGCAAGGGCATCCTCAAACATCTTGTTCTGCTCTTCGGTCCAGGATGAGCTCACTGCACCAGATGACATCTCTAAAGGATATTTGCGTATGGACACTTGACACTTAAGTTTGGAGTTTTGCTTTGCTCTAAGCTCACCACTATAACTTTGTGTAAGCTGATATGTTGAGGCACTTGCCTGGCTGCTACTTATAACGGAGAATGGCGTTTAAGGTAGAAGAACTCCATGGTGGTGGTGTGGCCAGAGACATTTGGAGAATAGAATTCCCATAAAGTCCAAAAAATCGAATAAGTGATGTGTGATAACTGCAACCATTGTAGTGTGGGATAGAATATGAAGATTGTGTGTGGGGAAGTGATAGATCATGTTGTCCCTCTTAAAAGAGATGTTCAATTAAATCTCTCACCTTCTTCCTTCCCATAGAGTTTTCCTCCCTTTCCTCTCACTTCTACGCATGGAATCTTCTTCATGCTGCCAAACTCAAGCATTAGATGGATGTGTAAGCAGAGGAAGATGTGATATCAAGCACAGGTACTTAATAATCTAACACAAGCATAACTGGTGTGCAAATATTTTTAATAGATGGTATCAGATATGGAAATTGAAAATTCAGTCTGCTTTGTTGATGTCAAAGCTTCTGATTGGTTTTTTGTTTCGTATACTGTGGATGGACAACAATTTGATGATTAGTTAATTAATAATGAAATCTAAAGCAGATTTGGATTGTGAACTTTGATGAGATCACAAGAATCAAACGCAGTTAGCAGTTTATTTTATGGGAAAAGCTTCTATATTGGACTGAGGATAGGGTCTATGACTTCAAAAATCTGTTGTAATACTCTTCTGGTATTAATTTTTAAGTTATTTCATTGACTCCTCAAAGATGGTTCAGAAAGAGGAGCAGAGTGAATTAATGATAGGACATCTTTGGTAGATCATGAAGTATGCAATCCACCATGTATTAGTAATCAGCACCTTCTGTGTTGATGGACAAAATCAAATGAATGGTTGATTAACCAGAAAGTAAAAGAAAAAGTCAGAAATGCATTTGAGGTTGATATAACTCATGCAGGCTTTCACAAAAAACTATAATCTTTTGATAGGTTGCCACATTCTCAGATTCCTCTCAGCAAGTTGCTATGGAGGACCTCAATGTCTGGGAGTTAGGATAACCTTAATTCTGGGCCACCGCCACTTGATGAACCTTTGCCTGTTTGATATGGACTATAATCCAAAACCAACAGCTAAGACCAAGAAGAATATGAACTGTTAAGAGATTCCCGGGGACATATATAATGATGGTTGTACTGGAGAAAGTGAAAATAGTTCTGCTTTTGTATTAAGTTGAAAAGGATACTTTCTATTAAAAGTTTTCTTCCACTTGCTGTGATCTTAGATCACATAACTTGAAATAGACAGTTGATGTTATTTCAGTGTATGGTTTTTCAGACTTACAATCTAAACAATTTGAACTGCTATTGTCCATTCTGCTATATCAACTCTAAAACTTAATTGTAACAAAAAGATTAGTGAAGGATTCATATTTTTTTCATTTTCTTGACTGATTCCTTGGCGATTGACATAGTTTTTGAGGCTGAAGGAACAGTCAGAAATTAAGTGTCGAAAGTGTCTGCATTACTAGGCTTATCAGAAAATTTTGCAGAATAATCCTCTTTCGGACAAAAGGTACTTATCATAATCCAGTAATAACAAATTCATATCACAAGAATGCCACAACTAGTCCCTTTAGAGTGCCAGGTACATGCCAAAGAGCATACAAGTAAATAATTCTTGGATCCACTACAAACTGCAAAGGGAACCAAAAATCTCTGTAGAAATGGATTAATATACTGTGTTTGAAATAAGAAAGCAGGTGGGCATGCAAAAACTAAATTGTATTAAACATGCTAAATCAATAAAAACTGCATTTTGATGGACAATAAGAAGTCCTTAGTCGACATAGGAAATGAATTACTCTGAGTTTGACTTTCTACCAGTCTTCTAAACTCAAAAATTTAGCTTCTCCTATGACTTGGGAATGCTGTGACCAGGTTATAAAGATACTTTTTCTGAGAGATGTGGAATGTTAAGACCCTCAAGAGATTGGCGTCAACTAAGTACTGCTTCGCTGTTAAGCAAAAGAAAGACTGACCAGATTCTAAAGAATCCTTACTGGAAAAAGTGGTTCTTAGATGCAGATTCCAGGTAATGGTAGGAACCCATCTCTTACCTCATGTCACCACCATATAAATCACCAAACATTATTCTCATCAATCGGTATGATTTTTATTTGCACAGACCTCTTTTAAGTCTTTCACAACAATATTTTTTGAGCAGCCTTCATTTCGTTCTATCTGAAAAGTCAGATGCATGACAAAAAAGCAGTTATCCAAGATAAGATGCTTTGCTGTCTCAGATTGCACGAAGTCCCTAAGTAATTCTTGATTTTGGAACTCGCATACCACAAAGAAAGCCCACTTGTAGTAAAGAAGAGTTTTACCTTCCAGGTAGAGAGCAACTGGCAATGGTATCAGCATCAACTTTTTTGTTGGTAACTTTAGAACTAAAGGAACTTAGCAGCAGTACTATACCCATTTGAAAATATCTAAATATTCCACTTGGTCCTCTCCGGAATCACCTCCACCAGAGTCAAAGATATGTGATGTCTGCAAAGCCTTATGAAATGGTTTGAAAATCCTTGGAATGCCACAATTCAAAATGATTCATTACTGTGTGCGTTGAGCGGCAAATACGACATCTTTATAATCTCATGTTACTTAATTAAATTGGTCCATAAGAACAAGCTAGGCTTGCAACTGTAATTTGGGTTTGAATACCTTATCCTTTGTGATTTTTACATTATCTAAATTTTTAGATTAGTAGGTGCCTATAATTGTTCCAATTGATACATAATATTAAATGGTTCATACAGATTTTAATACAGATACATGTCCCTCCATATGTAGAGATCCTCTGTATATATCCTTCCATTAACATTCATCCAAAATCCAAAATGGTTGGCAAGCTTGGGTGAAATAATTGAAAAAGAAAATATAAACTTAAAATGTTCTTAAAATTCTTATCATTATAACTATATGAATTTATTTTTAAGTGGCATTTATGTTGATTAAGATTCCAAAGGTTAAACTAGTTGACAATTTGGATACGATAAGAGTGCTCCCTTCCGACCCAAGTGATTCTAACTTGAATCACCTAAACAATCTCTCTATTTTTCGAGCTAATACTATGTATTTTAGCCCTCCCTTGGATGGCATATTGGGGGGAACATTGTGCACCGGGTTCATCTTTTTAGATTAATTGACAATCAGTGGATGGAAATTAACTATAAAAACATATATGGAAGTGGAAATTATCTACAAAAACATTGGCAAGTTCCTTCTAGTGGTCCATCCTAGTGTTTTCCATAGGAAAAATAAGATTTCTGGATTGTGTTTCATTATTTTATTTCTGGGTATTTCAAATTGATGTTGTTGTCTCTATAAAGTGGTCTTTTCTTTCTTCTAAATTTCCTCGGATCAGATTGCTTTGGAATTCTAGATTCCATAGTAAAACCAACTTAGCAATGTAAGGTGATCTTGCTGCACTAGGCTTCTTTTTGCTCCCCTTTTTGCTTTCATGCAAATATGGATATCCTTTTTGCTTTCATGCAAATATGGATATAACAAGTTTCTGCAACTGCTGCAGCATACTGCATCTTACAATGTAATTAGCTATACCATTTTAAGAAATTTGCACAAGAAAGGGCACTTGATAGGAAAAGTAAATCCTCATAGTAAATGCAATAAGTGTGTCAATTGTTCTACAGCTTAATACAATGAACTAGCATAAATAATATGGAAGATGTATGACATGTGGAAGTCAGAACATAAGCAGAAGTTTCAACAGGTCTCAGATTAAATTCATTGTACCAATCCAAACATATTGCATACCTTCAGAAGAAGAACCCCAGAGTATGTTTCAAAACCATGTTCAATCATGTGATCAGCTACTGCACCAAATGCATGATGTATTGTGTATAAGCATATTCCAAGTTTCTCTGCAGAAAATTGAATGACAGTTAATGTGTGGCTCTTGCTGTTTTCCTATAAAACATTATGCAGATGATGCAACAACCTTATATCAAGCCTGTTGTTGCGACATGATCTGCATGGACATGAGTATTCATCCATGATCCAACTTTGACCCCACTTATATCTCTGTCAACAGTTGTTTCTGCTGGATCAACATGCTACGCAAAAGACACGGAATGGTTAGCATACGTATTACTCGAACAGAGTTAGAGCAAAGAAGACATCTTTTGTTTTCTCTTTCTTTTGAACAATAGCAAGAGCAACTAATAACAGTTCAGCTCAGGAAGATGCAATACATGTGTGGTCAGAATCGATACAGTAAATTGCATGATCTGTCAGAGTGCTGAAGTTGCTAATTAAAAGGAAAACAGAAGTACAAGAATGCATAGTCATTCAAAAGACATCCATATACATCTACAGAGAACAATGAACAAAAAAAGGATAGTTAAGTATATAGAGAGAGATGATTGCAGCTCAGCAACTTTCTTGATGCTCTTCTGTAGCCAGTATCAAAATTGTTTGCAAGAATAATAATCAGCGTAATTAGATGCAGACATATGCAGTGACACATTTTATCAAGATTAGATCTTATACATGTTTTACTCTATACTACTGCTGATTAATGTAGAGAATTCCAACTCTTATATCATGTACTATGGACAATGAAAAAAGGGCAATTATGCTGTGATGAAAAACCTTATAGCAGATACCAAAACATGGCATCTTTCTCGGGCAATCACGCAACTGTCATTTAGAAGTAATGAGCTTTGACAACAAAAAATAGCAAAACTATAAGCTTCTGGAGAAGAAACCCCAATTAGATCCATATACTGTGGCACAGGATTCCTCTTCAGAGGAGATTTCTAGGTATAGAGACCACGTCAATTCAATATTCCCTCCCGGAACTGAACCTGAACACGACAATGAGCAGATTCCCAGGAAGTTTGACAGGCTGTTCCGGTGGTGGAGGTCGGCAAGGAGGTAACCGTAGGTGGAGGATCTTGGAAGGGCGGGCGGAAGAGGCGTCTCGTCGATCGCGCCGGGGAGAGATGGGAAAGAATTGGGTAAAAAATAAATAAAATTATTATAAAAATTTTAATTTTAGAATTAAAAAAGCATCATAATTTAAAAATAGAAGGTTAATAATCGTAAAATAATATTTAATTTAAAGTTTTAAACTATATAAATTAAAACTCTTTTTCAATTCTCTTATAAAAAATTAAAAATTTTAATTAGGATAATAACCTCTTCCATCAGAATAATCCTGTAAAGTATCATCGATAACCAAAATCCAAGTGTGACAATCCTAACATTCTCAATACAAAAATGGTTTACAGATTAAAATAAATAAAATAAAAATATATTTGAAAATAATCTTATTCAATTTGATTCTAATATTTTGAAAAACATTTATACACATAAATTTAAACACATGTTAATAAGTTTAATAAATATAATAATATTATATTATGTTCGATTAGTAACGTGAATTATACGTCATCAATATAATACTTGTTTTTATATATTTTAATATTATATATTTTTTTAATATAGTTCAAAATAATCTTTATAATTTATCTTGTCCACATAATTATATTTAATCATAATATATATATATATATATAATAGTAAAAATAAATAACTTTAATTATGTAAATAAGAATATCCATCGTTATCGAGATCGACGACATAACCCCTCATCGGTGACCTATATCGACACACAACTCTCCTCGTTGTATCGATAGCCTTATCACAATTAGCAACACCGTCATTCGTCGTTTGCACATCCACTAACCGTAGGAATAACCAAACATCCCACTACCACCTTCATGGCCTTCAATCGGAGTGTCACCTATTGAACTACCACAAACAAATGACACTAAAAACTATCATTGTGTGTGATATTTCCTTTTTTCATCGCGACTCCCTTTCATGATGCCCAAGCGACCATCACCCTTTACTTTGACACTGTGGATAGCAAGTCACCTATAACATATCACTAACATCAATATCGTTGCTAGCCACAAAAGGGCAACATCTTTCCAATAGCTAAACATAGCAATTTTTTTTTTTTTAGATTCCATCCACAAATGCGAGAAAACCTCCGATACAGGATCACATAGTATAATCGTCATAAGAACTAAACAATAATAATCCTATATAATCAAAATAGATCTATATATAGTTTCTTTAATAATCTATGATAACTTAGATTTTAATAACATGATTTTGATACCAATACTAAGAAATAAAATTATTATAAAAAAATCTAATATCACAATTGAAATCAAGTATTATAGATCCAAAAAAGAATATATATCTTTTGAATACGATAATCAGCAAGGTACCTAGGATATCGTGAAACGATGCATTGTGATGATCTACATATGTCATTAAGTTACATAACAAATAAGTTAGACTCTTCTTTTTTTTTTAATTTTTAAAATTACTATAATTGATGAAGGAATTGTAACGG